GGCATGATGTCAGTTGCCTATAATCCCAGCTACTTAGCAGGCTGAGGTAGGAGAATCACTTGAATCTGGGAGGTGGAGGTTGCAGTGAGCTGAGACCGCACTACTGCACTCCATCCTGGACAACAGAGCGAGACTCTGTCTCAAAAAAAATGACATAAAAATAAAACGCATATGAACTTGTTTTTCTTCAGCTAGTGATTCATTTGTAACTTAGTGCAAAACTCAGACTGGAATGCTTCAAATGTTTACTCCCGTAAGGTGGAAGCCAGAACAGGGTCTAGTTTGAACACGCAGTGGAATGGAAGTGCTGCCTGGCTCTGATTGTTCGAAATGCCTGCTAGAAGCCAGAGACAGAAATGCCATCTAATTTCACAGGACAGTGGGAAGGAGAATATTACTAGGCCCCCACCTTCCCACTCCGTTTACATGCCAAGTGCTCTGCTTCAAGATGAGGAAATGTTTCAGAGTTCCTCATACACCCACAAGCAACTTGGCTGGTGCTGCAGGGCTAGGATCCCACCCCAGGACTGTGGGCTCTAAGACATAGGTGCTTTCCACCAAACTGGTGGTTTTCAAAGCAACTTTTGTGGCACTGCTTCAGGAAAATTTGTCCTGATACTAGTAATGTCCTGATAAATATTAATAACCATCTTTATGTACACTCAAAGGTTTAAAACACATTCCCTGAGGCTGCTTGAGACTTCACTGTAAGGTCTCCATTGCTGTATGTGGCCTTTGCAGGGGTCACTGACTGGGAGGGCACCATCTTAGTGCTATGATCGTTAGGCCCAGGGCCATCTCAATCCTGGTGGCCCTGACCATGGAGTCATTTTAGTGCTTATAAACCTTTGGGTATCTCTTATCTGATATATGGATGATAAAGACTGAAAGCCCATTTTGGATATTCTTCTATTAATCCATTTTTTCAGGCATCTACTTCAGTTTTGTCAATAACAAGAGATTGCAGGCAAGCTGTGACTACCACCATTTGCAACCACTTACCTATAAAACTCAGATTTTATAAAACTCCCCCCACATTGTATAACTAAAACAAAATCCAGAAATAAATTGGATGCTGGGACAGTTCACAATGGACCTATTTGCACTAATGAAAAATGCTCCCTCCCCGACCCCACTGATTTAAGATGACAAACCTTGATGATTCATTTTAATAATATATTTATGTATTTGAAAGGTTAAAAACAAAAACACTGGATTAGACTATCACAACCTTTTGATTTGAAGGTTAAGAGGGAGAAAAGGGCTCATATTTCAAGCCTCATGATAGCAACCACCTAAGCTCCTCTCCAAGATTTCAATGAGAACCAAGTTAATATAGCTATTTACATAAGGCTTTCTGGACGCCCAAGAGCACAAGAAGGGGGTTAGGAGTCAGGAAAGTTTTGGGTTTTTTTTTCCTTTTTCAGATAGGGTCTTGCTATGTTGCCCAGGCTGGAGTGCAGTGGTGTCATGGCTCACTGCAGCCTGGAGCTCCTAGGCTCAAGAGATCCTCCCAACTTAGGCTCCCAAGTAGTTGGGACTACAGGTATGCACCACCATGACTGGCTAGTTTTTATTTATATTTTTTGTAGAGACGGGTCTCAACATATTGCTGATGCTGGTCTTGAACTCAGGCTCATGTGATCCTCCCACCTCAGCCTCCCAAAGTGCTGGGATGACAGGCGTGAGCCACGGCACCTGGCCAAGAATGACTTATTAAATTTTGCTGTTAACTCATTAATAATCTGGAGGTCTTTGGCCCTCTGAGCCTCAATTTCCTCAGTGAAAAAGGAAGAGACTGGAATAGTGATTTTCAGACTTTTAAGGAACAAAACCTTTCTTCGTATGAGATCTTACTTTTAAGTCTAATAAAGCTTTGAATGTTCCTCAAGACTCCCTCTCCACAATGGCCCCACAGAACAGTATGAAACCCGTGGAAGTAGGTGGTCTAAGGTCGTTCCACCTCTAAACATCAGGAATCCACGTTCCCCGCCTCTGGAAGACAAACAGGCCCCGCCCCCCCGACCCCCTCCTCACTGAGAGCCCCTCTCTCCTAAGAGGCTGAACTGATTCATACCCTGACCTAAGACTGCATTACAGCACTGGCAGGAGAACCACAGTGACAACCCAAATCCAGGGCTCAACAACTGTCTGTGGGTGAAAATGACAGATTTATTCAACTTAAATGGTCATCGAGGCTACAGCAGAATCAGTGCTGTTACAACAGGCAAGCACTACTGTCAGCAGCAACACATGGTTTACTTCAACAGCGTCTGAGCCTCATAGGTTTTCATTTAAAAAATCTTATAAGCCAGCTGTAAAGCTGTTAAAGGCCAATTTTAAATGCCAATGTAAAACAAATTTCACTGAAAATACAATTCAAATATAACTGCTATGAGCACTGTAAGAAAACTTGACTAATAACTCAGAGATAATAGAAAGACTTTAAATGGTAAATAAAATAGCAGCATTTAAAAACTTGGTAACTCATTTCAGAAGATGCCCTTCCCCTGCCCAGACCCTTCACGCCTCCAAACACCTGCCTAGGCTAGGAGAGTCCTGTTCAAGCAGGGAGGCAACTGGTATCTGCAGAGAACATGCATCAGATGAACTCTACACCAGCTGAGAGGAACAAGACCTCAGTGCAGTTATGTGCTAGGGACAGCAGGACTCGTGTTTAAGTGTCAGAGGCTTAGAAGGGTCAGCTCTGAACTAGAAGTCTCACCCATCTGCTCCTGCCTTTGAGAAATCTTGTCAGTAACCTCAACTTAGAACAACCTCCTTGAAAATGTGACTAACAGCTGAGACTCCTGCCGCATTATCCAAAACACCAGTTGGATGGTCTTTGCCCCACAGTCCAGGGCCCATTTTAAATTCTACTTTTAGCCCTCACCTAATGCAATCAGATGGATACAGCTGCAGCCCTGGCTGGGGACAGGCCACTTGAACTGGCAGCAGCTAAATGAAATCCTGCAACAGCACCTCCAAATCAGCTCTCATTCTTAAAAGATCAATACAGGTCAGGGCTAGAGTTAACTTCAACAGGCATGGGATCTCCTAGCCTCATGTGCAAGCAGACAAGTATATCAGGATAATACCTTTAATTCTCACCTTGATGTTTTTTAATAGCCAGAGATTGTTTAACAGGTCCTCCAGCACCTTCTGTTCATTCTCCTTTAGACTTACCAAGTAACATAATTCACAGAATACTCTTTGCTTACATTAGCATATGAGCAAAATTTCTAGAGGAAAACTTTTCTGTACGTCCTGGAGAATCTCAGTGGATTAAGGCAGCTGTAACTTTTTTAAACTGCAGTTACGGAGGCGAAGATATAGAAAGAAGGTAATGAGAGTGCCAGGATAGGAAAGTTCTGAGATGAAGACAACCTGGCATCTCAAAGTCACAGTTCGTGCCCTGTTGTTTCAGACCAAATTCCCTCTGCAGCCTGAAGCAAGCTGGCCTTGCCCTCAGAGAACTGCCCTTCTCCAGATGCAGCCACCTCCCTCAGGGCAATTCGCTGCCTTGGATCCTCACTGGACCTGCCTCGCCAGCCATCTTGGCTCTTCATCTTCCTACCCCCAGAGCAGCTTTCCATTTAGAGGCTCTCAACAGCCTTGCTAGGCCATGCCAGTGTTTTAATTTGCTGAGGACTAGCCCACAGAAACAACAGTGGCTGGGTGTGGGTGTACACACATGCTGGCTATGGCACAAACTCAGGTTTTTCATAACATGGTCTGAATACACAGACTGGGCTCCCTGGCGGATTGAAGGTAGCTGAGGTAGTGCCCTCTCCTTCCACAGAATGACTTTTTTCAAATGTCTGCTGGGTGGCACAGCTTTCAAACTAGAACAAGCTCAGCTAGTCTTAGGTCTTTGTGTACTTTAGGCAGAGGGTGCATTCAAAAAGTGACCCTATAGAGACTGCCCCAAAGAGTGATGGCCCCAGGGGGCTCTGAGCCACCAGCAGGTCACTCTGTGGATCCTAGCCAACTCACCGCAGATGTTGGGCTGACCACTCAAGCCAGACACCCCTCAATACCAACCTTCCTGAGGGAGGAACGGCATAATGTATCTCACCCACAGACCCATGGGATGGGAGGGATGCCCAACAGCACTGTAGGGTGGATCATGAGGTCAAGAAATCGAGACCATCCTGGTCAACATGGTGAAACCCCGTCTCTACCAAAATTACAAAAAATTAGCTGGGTGTGGTGGCGCATACCTGTAATCCCAGCTACTCAGAAGGCAGGAGAATTGCCTGAACCCAGGAGGCGGAGGTTGCAGTGAGCCAAGATCGCGCCATTGAACTCCAGCCTGGGTAACAAGAGCGAAACTCCGCCTCAAAAAAAAAAAAAAAAAAAAAAAAGTCTACCTCTGTGAAGAGCAAGAACTAGTATTGAAGTGACTATAGATGCCACAGCCCTGCCAGAAGAGCTAAGGAGCAGAGGTTCCTCTAGTGTGGAGAGGGCAAGAAGGAGACTTCTAGTTGACTGTAACCCAATCACATCTAATTCCATTTCTGCCCCCAGTTCTCTCTGCCCACCCACAGTCTTATCATCCAACAACAACAGGTAGAAGCATTCTCTCACCCTCACCCCACATCTCCTTCCACTCCCCCCACTGAAGGGGCCAGAGTGCTGGCTGCCAAGATTAGAGCAGCAGCTAAAAATGGAGCCTGAGGCGAGAGGTAGTCGTAATTCCTACTCATGTGCAACTCTTCGGAGAAGGAAGAACAGCTGCTGGGTCCGATGCCTGACTGCTTTGCCGTTTTAGCTTGGGAGATTTTAGGAGCAAAATCTGTGTTCAGTGCTTGAATATCATGGCGAGGGTCCTCGCCAAGCTCTAGAGTTGGAAGGAAATCTGTAGCTTTCCTTTGCCAAAGGTCGGATTGCCAGCAGCCCCTCAAAAACTTCGGTTTGAGAGGGAAAAAGGATGAAGAGGGGACAAATCACAGGGCAGAGAATTAGAAAGTGTTAGCAAAAGCTACCATGCGGAACACTCAACTTTATTCACTTTATTTATATATTTAACAATTCTAAAGTATTTACTTCTTGCTTTGACAAAAAAATTAAAAATATAGGAGCACTGACTCCTCTTTAGGAGAAAAGGGTTATATGTACAGCTACAGAGAGTTACGGTTCCTCCTTTAACAAAGGAAAATATTAATAAAAAAGTGCTTCATTGATCAAAAAAGGGCTAAGAGCTGCAAGCATTTATTCACACTGTACATCAGACCCAAGAAACCCGTATCATAACCTCTTGGCACCTGTCACTAGGAACTGCACAATCTTCAATTAGACCAACTTTTCCCTACCTGCACGACTAGGTGACACAGAATGTGGAAAAGAATATATGCTGTTTCACCACAAACTCTGAGCAACGTGTTGCTGCTGGAAGTCATAGACACGCTCAGATGCTCTGGGCTTTGCCTGGACTGACAGCACCACGGAAGGCTTCTGGGCCATGCCTTAACCACACCCAGGTACGCACAGGAGCCACCTTCCTGAGACACAGCTTGCCCTTGGGTCAGGGAACTGCTACCAAAGGAGAAGAGGAATAGAGGGCAGGGCCAGAGCTTAAGCCTTCCCTGACCTTATCCCTAGCCCTCACCATGATCCACCCTGTCACCAGTTAGCAGCTTTCAGCAGAGCCAAGCATAGCCTCCCCAAGAGGGAGGGCAGGCACAATACAGGGATGCCAAGATTACAAAGCACAAACCTAACTCTTCTCCAGCCTTTCCGACGCCCACCTCCACCACAAATATTCTTGATTTAAGGCTGTTTTTGGACCCTATCAAAGCTCACTGAGGAAAGGTACCCCGAATCTCCTCCAGGCCATGTCACTGCTCTAAGTGGCCCTTCACTGCTGGCCAGCAGCCAGACAAGTGGCCACTCAGACAGCCAGGAGTGGGGAAGAGGGACTGTTCAGTCCTCCTTCCTGTTCCGAGAAGGAGAAGGACGAAGGCTGATTGTAAAGGGACCTGCTTCCCTTTCCAGGGGCTTGTAACTCTAAAGGCTGATTCTACCCCTTAAAGGGAAGATCCATGATTGGTTTGGTTTGGGAATGGGGGATTTCTGGAACCCTGAGTCTGGATTTCCCTGTGCTGGCTGAGGAAGAGACTGTTGAGGGACTCAGGTGTGCCTGGGCTCAGGGTAGGCTTTGGCCTTGAGTGGATAACCATTTTGGCCAGTCTGTACTCATGCCTGAGGGTAGGAAGTGCTACACAGCCTAGCCCAGGGAAGCAGCCCCCTGAAAGCAAACGGAGCCCAAGGCAATCTGGGTCGAGTTAAAAATAAAATCCCATGGGGGATAACATGATGGCCACCCACTCCTAGCCCCTTGCCTGCCTCAAAGGAGCATACACTTTCCTTTCCCAAAGAGGGATATAAGGGGATGCCATTTACCATGTGTCCCTCCCTCCAAACATCAGCCCCATTTATCCATCTGTGAGGGGACTGGCTCAGCTCCTCACAGGAAGGAGATGATGCCCAGGGCAGTGCTCCTGGGGAATACAGACATGCTTCCAGCCTCCCCAGCAGCAAAGGCTTCCCAACCAGCTCTGATGTGGCGGTGGTGTGAGGAATGGTTGCTTGTTAGCCCTGGCTTTCTTCCCTACTTACTGTCTCATATCTCCATACTCCTGGCTCTGACCACTGTCCTCCCACCTGGAAGAAACAAGCCATCCCTCGGTGTCACCTGACAGCAGGCAGCTCGGCAGTTACAGCGGGCCTGGCAACCTCCGGTCTTCCATCAAAAAAAAAAAAAAAAAAAAAATTAACCAAGGGAGAGTTTCCTTTTTTGAAGGCAGAGAAGGAAGATGGAAAAGGTAGGGAGTAGGGGGGACAGGAAAGAAAAATCAATCTACAATCCAGTGGTGCATCCCAAATTTCTGTCACTCTGTACAGGTGGTTCCACACCCCCATTCCAAAGTGCACGGGCCTCTCGGTCTGCCCAGGCTGTTTGGGCCTTTCACAGGAACAGCAGCATGGCCACTGCCCACCCAGGTCACTAAGCTTCAGTTGGAAGTGGCAGCAATGGGCTTATCCAGTTCAAGGTCAATGCTGGAGCTTGTAGGATGTAGGCTGCTATAGCAAGACTTGCATACTCGACTGGGTTCAAAGAGCTGCTGGCTGGGAACTGGAACCTTCTGGTTACAACAACTGGAGCAGAATACGTTCCCACAATTCCTTGAGATAAGAAGAAACAGAAGAATGTTAGTTTTGGCCAGCAGGTATGCAGTAGGGAAACCAACTCCAAAAAACAAACTTTGCTGTGTATAATTTGCATGTGCTGGAGCTCCTCGAGATCAAATCCTTTCATCTCTCTAGTCTAGGAACAAGCTGGGTAGGGAGGGTGTCCCTACCTAGCAAAGTCACATGTCACTTTCACTTCGGGGCCAAGGATATTTGGCTGCCTCACCACTCAGACTCAAGGCTACCAGGTATACAGAAGGATGCTGCTCAAAAGAGATCTGCGAGAATACATGGGCCTAACAATGGGCTAGTCCTGATCCAAAAAAACCGTGGCCACACCCACCTAGGCAATGCCCTCTGTGTAGCTTGTGATCACAGAGGCCAGGCTCCTCAAACAAGAGAAACAACTACCCAGCCTCACTGGGAGTAAGGAGCCTTGGCCAACGGCCACTTCTCCAGAGGATCAAAGGCAGCAACATGGTAGATAGACAGCTGCCATTTTGGACTGCTCTGCTGGCAGCATGCAAAGCCAGGGATAAGCAGCCTGTGATGCATGCTCAGAGGGTGAAAGAGGAGAGGTGGGAGGACAAGAACAAAGATGAACACACGTGCACACACACACACCCTTTATTAGACAGGTGTCAGTCAATTATGGCTCGCTCCCCGATCCATGCATCTCCAGGGAAAACCAGAGTTCTACCAGAAGGCAGGAATGCACTCAGGCCCCAGGCCTCCTCCTCCTCCTCCTCCTCCTCCTCCTCCCCTGAAAGCTGGGTTCTGGGGCATCTGTGCAGCACAGGTCTGCACCCCCAGGCAGATGCCCATCGGAGCTAACAGGAAAGGGAATTTGCAAAGAATGAGTTTCTGCCCACCTTACAACTCTGCGTTTGCTGGGCCTTGAGGTACAAATCAATCGCAATGAGCCTAAGAATAAAACTCCAAGGAGCCTGACAGCCCACCAAAGACTGGAGGAAGGCAGCTTCTCAGCCAGCATCACTCTCTAACTTTCTTTTATGCTGTCTGGAATGCAGACTCACTGCTGAATTTGGGATCACTTAGGCACAGGAGGAGAGAAAACTGAAGACCATTTGGGAACAAAAGAATACCACAAAAGGAAAAGGTGGGACATGGGGCAATGGAAAGAAAAGAAAATTCATCATCTAAAATGTAAGTACTTCATAACTATTTCTAAAAAATATGAGTCAGCAAAAACCTGTAGTTATACAAAAAAACTTCCGAACATCTACACTTCTTTACCATCCCTGCTGGAATTCAGCTCAAAAGCCTGACGTGAATTTGATGCTTTACTTTTTTTTTTTTTTGAGAAGGAGTTTTGCTCTTGTTGCCCAGGCTGGAGTGCAGTGGTGGATCTTGGCTCACTGCAACCACTGCCTTACAGGTTCAAGCAATTCTCCTGCCTCAGCCTCCCAAGGAGCAGGGATTAAAGGCACACACCACACGCCTGGCTAATTTTGTATTTTAGTGGAGATGGAATTTCATAATGTTGGTCAGGCTGGTCTTAAACTCCTGACCTCAGGTGCTCTGCCTACCTCAGCCTCCCAAAGTGCTGGGATTACAGGTATAAGCCACTGCACCTAGCTGATGGCTTCTGACTTCTTTCAGAGGACCCTGAAAGTCACTAAGTGCAGTCTTTCCTTAAAGTCTTCCATGCTAAAAACAATCTGGAAAGATCACCTCTGTTCAGTCCTGGTCTCTTTGAAAAAAAAAAAGGTGGGGGGAGGAGCAGTGATGCTGTTTGACGTGGAAATTACTAGTGTTATTATTCTGGCATCTCCGTAAATCACTGACCCAAAATAAATAGCTCTGAAAACCCAACTGACTCCCCTACAAGATCAAAAGAGAAGCACTACTTCTTGTTACAAGCAAGATGGCCTGGCTGACCTGTGACCAAGAGGGGAGCACATGGCTGCAGCCTGACTCACCCTTGATGGTCTCTCTTCACTTAGCTGCTTTGAATCCCCTCAAGCCCACCTGCCTGCCTGTGCACCCAGGACCCAGGCTTCACCCTAGTGAGTGCAGAGAGGGGGAAGTGATAAGAGTTAGTGTGGAGAAGTTATTGGAGATGTGCAGACATCACAGGCAGGTTGTTGCAAATGCTCACCACGTTTGATCAACACGGTCAGTGTCCCTGCAAGGAGGGGAGAAAGAGCTCAGAAGAGAAGCCAACCAATGATATCTAGGCTTGGGGTGCAGGGTGGGGAGATATGTGTCCTAGAAGCATCATTACTAGGCAAAGAGGTTGTTCCATTTTCAATCCAGGGTCACTCATGTGAGTGAGCTATGGCATGATTCAGATAAACTTACTATGCTAAGAACACTGAACATCCGCCACACAGTCAACACTCTGGCTGGGGCAAAGCATCCCTAGTAACTCACTTCCCCAACCCAGAAGGAAAAAGAAGTCAGGAACCTTAATAATTGGAACACTGGCCTCAACTGTCCCTCCTACTACCCAAACTACAGCTGCTCACCAATGGCACAAGGGAATACAAGTGTGGAGTCAGGGAGCAGGAAAGGAATAGGAAAATAAAGTTCCCTCCCCATCACAGGAAAACTGGTTTTGCTCATAGGAGCCATGTTGAATGGGAAGCAATGTTATACTGGGAATAAGAAATGGTGGTTTCAGTGGTGGCTGTTGTTCCACCAGTCTGGGAAACCAAACAAAATGCTATTTGCACATTTCAAAATTTAATAGCGATAACTCTGAACAAAGATGCCAAATGCAGTTTTGCAAACACCAATTTCAGAAGCACAGAAGATGAGACCATGAGTCTGCCTCAGACAGAACACTGCCAGCCAGATGCCCACAACCCTCTACTCTACAAGCGCTGTGGGCCAACCCTCAGCCTTCACACTCAGCTCACCCTAGCACACCCCCTCAATGGTACCTGCAGTGGTGCTTCCTGCTGGCAAGCCAGAAGGCACTGTCACACGCATAGCAGTGGGCGGCCAGGTGGTCAGGGAGCCAACGGGTCATCTGCAAAACAAGACGGGGCCAGGTTACTGACAGGAGATGGGCCATCCAGCTGGAGCCAGCAGAGCCATGCTGGGGGCAGCAAGAGTCACAAGGACCACATCGGCTCCAGCCCAGCAGATCTGATGTCAACAGTACAAGAAAGGCGTCCAAATCGTTTCCCTGGAGGGGACTCCAATTTCCCCTGAGATAAAGCAGCAGGCAGCAGCACCCTGGGTCACTTTGAGAGCTGGCAAGGCTCTAGTTCATAGAGGCAATGAAGAGGGAGGGTCAATTTGCCGAGTCTGCCTGGTTCAGAAATCCTAGGCTTGATGTGGATTCCCAAGAGCTGAAGTACCAGAGGCTCAAGGCTAGCTGTGCTGTGAGGTGCTTCCTTGGCCAGGGACACAGGATGGGAATGGGGGTGGAGAAGAATCACGAAACAGTTAAATGGATGGCACTCAGAGCAGGGGCCGAGCCTGTACCTCCGTGTCCTGTTTATCCACCTGCTCCCAGCTGGCTTCAGAGAAAATCTCTGTGCTGCAGCGAGACAAACAGCTCTGATCCAGATTGTTTTCCGAGTCGGGGATTGAAGTCTGTTGGCAAACAAACACAGCTGAACAGAATAAACCTGGTCTCCTCCCAAAAGAAGAAAAGGCCTGGTGAAGGGAGCACTGAGGACTCTGGATGGGGCCGAGTGCTAGGACGGCTGAGTCTGCAGATGCATTAGCCATCAAGAACTGGGATGAAGAGGTGCAGGGATGGGCCTGGGCTCAGCTGGGAGAGGGATACACAGGTTGTGTGCAGTGACTCTGGAATAGAAAGACTGGCCTCAGGGTTCCAGAAAGTGAGTGAGAGAGAAGTGACCAAAATGGAATGGGAATTCTGTATGTCAGCTGCTCCACTGGGCCTGTCAATCCAACCCTGCCCGCCACTTAGTTAAAGCTGAGTGCTTTCAGCATGCCCTCCTTTTCTTGGAAGGATTCTCTGGGAACATAAAAAACTATCATTAGCATGAAGGAAAAGCCAAGAAGTCACTTTGAATTGAAAGTCATTGGATGTGCCCGCCTTTAATGTACGCTGACCACTTGAGAGCCAGGCTCACACTTGTACTTGAATGGCCTGAGTCAAGTGCCCAGAGAAGAAAGCACCTCCTTGAGAACCTACCCTCTGGTACCCCCGTTTACAGCCCCCAACCCCTATCAGAGCTAACTCCTCAACAGTGCTAGAAACCAGTCCTTTCCCCCTTTCTACTGCCAGCATCTGCCATGGGGTGGCTATAAATATTTGTTTAAAAAGAACTAAATCTGGCCGGACGCAGTGGCTCATGCCTGTAATTCCAGCACTTTGGGAGGCCGAGGTGGGTAGATCACCTGAGGTCAGGAGTTCGAGACCAGCCTGGCCAACACAGTGAAACTCTGTCTCTACTTAAAATACAAAAATAGTTGAGCATGGTGGCTCATGCCTGTAATCCCAGCTACTCAGGAGGCTGAGGCAGGATAATCGCTTGAACATAAGAGGTGGAGGTTACAGTGAACTGAGATCACACCACTACACTCTAGCCTGGGTGACAAGAGTGAAACTCCATCTGGGGAAAAAAAAAAACCTAAACCTTCAAAACTATAGCCCACGTCTGGAAGGGGTAATACTTTGTAGTTACTAAGGTAGAATGGGCATTAAAATCTGACAGGAATAACTTGGCATTGCCCTACAGGGTCATTCTGCCCACGGGTTCAAGCCCTTCTGAAGACTTGTGATCCCGTGTCTGAGAGATCTGATCAACCATGGAGTGCAGGCTAAGTCTCTTCCTCTCTAACAGCCTCAACAGGACATCTGTGGAAAGCAAGCAAAGCAGAAAACAGGCAGGCTGCCATCACTGTGGTGGAGGCTCATCTCCAGCCTCTCTCAACAGGGCAACTCTGGACCTTTCCAATCCTTTAACAACCTGTACCAATCACCATGCCCTGGGCACCAAGGGCACTCAGCCTCAGTGTGCCCTGTCTCCTTGGGCAGGTAGGAATACCACAGCCTACTCACCACCTCATCCCCAAAGTCTCCATTGAAGCGTAGCGAGCTGGTCAGGTACTGGCTCTCTAGGCGACTCTTCAGCTCCTGGACTTGTTTCTTCAAAGTTTCTACTTCCTGCTGGTGGCCTGACTCAATCTGGCGCAGGCGCTGTTGGATCGTGTCCGTGTACACTGGCATGCCATCATCGTCCAGGTGGCTGCGGGAAGGCTGGTCGGGGCTGCTGGTTACAGATGGCCTCCCTGAGTGGCTATGCAGCCACTTGTGGTGCAAGTTCCTCGAGTGTAAGTGGGCAGAGCTACAGCTCATAGCAGACAGCTGACGGCTCAGTGAGTCCTTGCTCCTCCCAGCCTCCCCATTGGCGCAATGCCCATTGGGTGTGGGGTACTTCTGGAGGGTGATAAGACCTGGGGGCTGCTCTGAGGCCCTGTTTTCAGTCTCTGGGGCACCATTGCACACAAGCCCCTCTTTACATTCGGCTAAAGGCAAGGCACAAGGGGAACGTGTCAAGCTGAGAGTGCTGCCAGGGGAAGTCCTGTGCACCACAGACCCTGCTTGGGGCCTCTCGACCATGCTTTTCTCTGAAGGGCTGGGTTCCATGGTTTGGGGAAGCATGTCCTTGCCACTATTCACAAGGTAAGGTCTATGATGGCCTTGGGACCCACTTTTTGACTTCACCTTATCTTCCAACATGTCTGTGGAACTGTCCACGTTTGGTCCTCTGGTCTCAAAAGGGACTTGGGAAGACAGCAGAGAACACAACTGTGAGGTACCATAGCCAACTTTTGCATCTACTGGATTTGGAAGAACTGCTTCCTCCCTACCCTCTGTAATCTCCTCTGTTCGAAACTGCTCCACAGGGTCCTCCAGAAAATCCTCTCCCCTGGGGGGAACCTGGAGAGAACTGAGGAGAACACTGTGCCCACCCTGCTGTTCAGAAATACCCTGTGAAAACAGAGGCAGGCTCATGCCTGGATGGCTCTTCAGAGCAGTATCACCCAGTTCTGGATCTTGGTGAAGTCCAATGGCTGAGGCCTCAAGTGTCTTCCTCCTGCTCTCCTTTTCTAAGAGAGAGTCCTCTTTAACCTCCTGCATCTCGGTGCCTGCCCTGTGAGCAGGCTCCTCTACTCCACTCTCCTCTTTGGTGGCCTCCTGCAAGATGTTCTCCATCTGCCCCTCGGCTACTCCAGCTGCAACAGAAAGTTCGGCACCCCCTGGCACTCTGGTGGGCTTCCCCAGGCTGTCAGCAGAAAGGGGATCCTCTCCAGGACCAGCCAGGCTGCTCAGCTCTAGCGAGCGCCGGTGCTCCTGCCACTTCTCGTTCAGGCTGGGGTCGCTGCAGCGCCGGCTGGCCAGAGGCACTGTATTGTCACAGGCTGTGGTCAGATTGTCAAATGATCTAGTCTTTGGTAGCCTAAAGGAAAGGAATTTGGGAGAAATGAGAATCTTGGAAGGTGTTTCTAGGGAAATAGGAGACAACAGGGTTTAACAAGCAGTTGTTTCATAATTGGGTCCATTACAGCTACTCATGAAGCTGCAGCATCTCTGGAGCAAGGCCTAGACTGCTGGAGCAGCAAAGCTCCTGAACAAGTCCTTCTAGTGTGCAGATCTCCTCTCACACTGCCTCCACCCTAGGCCCCATACATACAAATGAGCTAACAGCAAATGCTATTTTTTTTTCTTTTTTTTGGAGATAGTCTCACTCTGTTGCCCAGGCTGAAGTGCAGTGGCACAATCTGAGCTCACTGCAACATCTGCCCCCCCAGGTTCAAGCAATTCTGCCTCAGCCTCCCGAGTAGCTGGGACTACAGCTGTGTGCCACTATGCCTGGCTAATGTTTTTGTATTTTTAGTAGAGATGGGGGGTTTCACCATTTTGTCCAGGCTGGTCTTGAACTCCTAACCTCAGGCAATCCGCCCACCTCGGCTTCCCAAAGTGATGGGATTACAGGCCTGAGCCACCGCGGCTGGCCTGCAAATGCTATTTTCAAAAGACGTTCTTCATGATGCTGCTGTGTTTCTCAGCGGATGGCAAAGTAGCATTGGTGTTTCTTGATATTTTAAATTGTGTTATCTATCATTCTGAATTTAATAAAGCTAATTCTCAAGTGACAAAGCCAATTTTTTTTTTTTTTTTTTTTTTTTTTGAGACAAGGTCTTGCTCTGTTATCCAGACTGGAATGCAATGGATCTTGGGTCATTGCAACAACCTCCACCTCCCAGGCTCAAGCAATCCACCTGCCTCAGCCTCCCAAGTAGCTGGGACTACAGGTATGTGCTACGAGATGTGGCTAGGTTTTGCATTTTGGGTAGAAACAGGGTTTCCCCATGTTATCCAGGCTGGTCTGGAACTCCTGGGCCCAAGTAATCCTCCTGCCTCCACCTCCCAAAATGCTAAGATTATAGACATCAGCCACTAAGCCTGGCCCAAAACTAAATTTTCTATTATCTGACAGCATCTGCCTTTTAAGCCTTGGAAGACAAATCATGGTAAATAGGCAGGAGCAGAGTGCGGTGGGGAAAACACAAACTAGGGGGTCACAGAAAACCCGAAGGATTTGCTCTATCACCGAGGAGCTGCTCAGTGCATACAAAAAAACCATGAAGCAACATGGCCCAACTCACTCCCAGACACAAGGCTCTTACAGCCTTGTAACCCAGAAATCCTTATACCTTCCCTGAAAAAACTGCAGACATCTAAGAAAGACACTGTGGACCCAGATAACGTCATGATCTCTGACCATCCCTGGACATGCCCCAACATAGGAATATACCCACAGACTGTCAGGCCTGTGGCATCACCCCTGGGCTCACCGGCTCAGGGGGGTATCATCAGGGCTGGTGCCTGGTGCTGGGTATGGCGCACAGCTGTCGTCCACAGGGGTGGTTGGGGATGGGCAGGGCAGGTACACTGCACTCCACAGCATCAGGTTACGCACATGGCACACAGGGTACAGCACCTGAGGAGGGGGGAGGACACAAGTTTAAATATGTCCCAGTAAGTCTTCTAGGATATCTGGAAATGAGGATCAAGAGCAAGTACCCAGCTGGAATACCCAACAGGGCTGACAGGATCTCCACGAAGAGTCAGCACCAATGGATGCAGGTCTATCCCAAGAGGACCAATAAAGGACTAGACATTTTATATGGCCAACATTTTCCTCTTGAGAGCATGAAAATCTAGAAGATTGTTTTAGATCCCTTTCTCATTAATAGTTATTTCTTAGGTCACCTTCAATGACTGACTTTCGTTGGCTTGATTTGTTGCTTTTACTGTCTAAGAAAGTGAGTCATTCTGTTACTCACTTTCATGGTGATTGTCCATCCCACTGGCACAGAAGCTTGGCTTCAGGAGATACTGTCACACCCATTTTATAGGCTCATTTAAATTAATCATGTGAAAAGAAGGAAATTTTTCTTCTTCCCCAGAAGGCACATTGCAGGGGAGAGACAAGCAGCTTAAATCTTTTCTTTGACTACTTAAATGTAATGAGAACCATGTTAATAGTCCAAGAAATCAATATAAACTCTGATTAGCCTCCTTTTCATTTCTTTAGGGTTTAAGATGCATTCTGACAAAGATAACATTACTATGAAACTCACACACAGGTCTATATGCCTCCTTTTCTTTGCTTAACAGAAGGCATTCATTCCTTTAGGGAACAAAGTCTTGAAGGCCCTGCCAGCTCTTCATGTGAGCAGAGAATCACAGTCAGACGCACATACCAATGTCAAACAGTTTTCTGTGTTCCTTCTCTGCGAGAAGCTATAGGGGATATCATTGCTTACTGGACACTGGGAGGGTGCTAGGGGCCTGGTGGCAGCTCCTTCTGAGCTATCAGTACATCAGGAAGCAACTTAAGTGCCTCTCCCATAAGACAAAACATGCTAGAAATAAGCTCTGGAGGCAGAGCCAAAAAAGATTCATGTCTAGGGTGGCAAAGTAGAGATCTGTGTTAAACCAAACCACCCTCAGCAAGTAGTCATCAGAACATCATCTTCTAAGCAAGCCTTCCTCAGGACAGAGTTGTAGGGGAAAAATGAAACCAGTCCATCCAGAGACAGAGATGCCTTCACAAAAACAGTCACTACTCAAAAAGGCTCTCATATGTCACCAACCCCAGATTCCTTCTGCTGACCACAGTGAAAAGGCTGAAGGATACATACGGCTTCTGACTGAGAGGAATACAGTAGATTTTTGAAAGGCTTGTTGCCTGCCCGAAGAAGTGACCACACAGAACACGTCCGTTCCTGAGTATGCTTTTCCCCTCTCTCCTTGGCATTGTTGCACAGGAATGTGCCAAAGAGGCAGGAATAGGTATGCTGCACCAGTTTCACCTATCGGAGTCCAATGAAGCACAAATTAAGCAATCAGGCATGCATTCTCTGAGAGGTCAGCTCAGCTGAGCCACCTTATCCCGACATCCCTGAGAACACTTTACTCTATCAGGACAGGGGAACCCAGTAAGCCATGCAGTAGCCTCCTCTTCCTCACATCACCGATTCTAGGACCCGACCCCAACCAACTGAGTCAGACAGATTGTTGGTACTCTCATTCCCCTTAGCTTCCCTGATAAACAGTCAGATTCTGAATTAACGGCCACCCTCACAAGCACCAGAGCATATGAACTGGGTACAGGAGCATGTCAGTGTACACCTTAAGCCTGAGCTGAGAGGATACTTGTAACACTACTTGTTCATTCGACAAATTATTGAGCATTTCACATGCCCCAGACATGACTAAGATGCTGGTCATGCAGCAATGACTGGCAAACTCTTCTGCCCTGTTGGAGCTTGCTCTAGTCATAGGTAAGAGTGACCAGTGCTGTGGAGAACAGGGCAGACTGAGATGGACAGGACATGTATGGGGCAGTGCAGGATGGCCTCACTGGCTAGAACCCAATGAACATGAAAGAGCAGGCATGTGGGTATCACACTTTAAGGACTTTGGCTTTTACTTTGTGTAAAATGTAAAGGTTTTTAAGCAAAGGAATGACAGTCTGTCTGATGTTTTAGAAGAGACTCTATGCTGGGATGACTCAATTGGAGCAGGAGATGATGGTGGCTTGAACCAGTGTGGTACCAATAAAGGGGGCAATAAATAAACAGGTTTTAGACATATTTTCAAAGCAGAGCTGTAGAATCTGACTGAATGTGAAAGATAAAAGAAAGAAGAGACCTGGGGATGACAAAGAATTTTGCCCTAAACAAAAGGAGGGATGGAAATGCCATATGGTGAGAGGAGACTTCTGGAAGATCAAGTTTGGAACATCAAGTTTTAGAGTGAGGAAACACAGAAATTAAGAATTAAGTTTTGGACAAGTGCGGTGACTCATGCCTGTAATACCAGCACTTTGTGAGGCTGGGGTAGGAGGATATTGTTTGACCCCAGGTGTTTTAGACATGCCTGAGTAACAAAGCAACACCCCATCTCTACAAAAATAAAAATATCAGCCAGGCACAGTGGTGCACACCTGCAGTCCTAGTGACTCAGGAGGCTAAGGTGAGAAGATCACTTGACTCGGAGTTCAAGGCTGCAGTAAGCTGTGTTTGTGCCACTATACTCCAGTCTGGGTGACAGTGAGATGCTGTCTCAAAAAAGAATTAAGTTTCGCATTTATTAAGTCCGAAATAACATTAAGACAGCCAAGCGAAGATTCCTAGTAGCCATATTAGATATGTGAGGCTGAAGTGGAGAGGTCTAAGCTGAAGGTGTATAAAAGGAACTCATCAGCCTATAGATCGCAATTAAAGCCACTAGAATGAATGAAATACTTAGAAGTATAGATGGAGAAGCAGCCTGGAGGCTGAGCAATGGGGCATTCCAACATTTAGAACTGGGTGTAGTTTACAGCTGTAATCCTTTGGGCGACCAAGGTGGGAGGTTTGAGACCAGCCTGGGCAACACAGTGAGACTCCATGTCTATTTACAAAAAAAAATTTTTTTAATTAGCCAGGCATATTGGCATGTGCCTGTGGTCTCAGCTACTGGGAAGGCTGAAGTGGGAGAATCCCTTGAGCCCATGAGGTTAAGGCTGCAGTGAATTATGATCATACCGCTGCACTCTAGCCTGGGAGACACAGCGAGACATTATCTCAAAAAAAAAAAAAAAAAAAAGAAGAACGAGGGTTAAAAGGAATCGGCAAAGGAGGCAGAAACAACCAGCCAGTGAGCTAAGAGGAGAACTAAGAGCAAGGAAGTGCTACAAGTCAACTGAACACAGCATTTCAAGGAAGAAGTGGTTAAACTGTGTCAAATGGTAATGATGGATCAAAGGGATGAAGACTGAGAAACCATCACTGGATTAGTGACATAAAGGTCACTGGTCATTTTAACAAGAGCAGCTTTGGTAAAGCTGTGGGGTGAATGCCTGATTGAAGTGGGTTTAAGAGAATGGAAAGAGGAATTTGAGATAGCAAGGACAGAAAACTTGAGGAGCTCTGCTGTAAAGGGGAATAAGAGAAATGGGATGATGGCTAGAGGTAAATGCAGGACCAAGAATGGGTTTTGAAAATATGGGAGACAATGCCACTTTTTTATGCTGAAGGTCATGCTCTGATACAGAGGGAAACGCACTGATGCAGAAGACAGAGAAGAGAAATGCTGGAGCCAGCCAGCACAGCAGATGAGAGGGAAAGAGAGCTGGTGTGCAGGTGGACAGAGGGGCTGGAAGAGGACAAGGATAGTGCACCCTCCGTCAAAGGAGAGGGTGCAGAGGGTGCAACACAGACAAAGGGGGTCTGGCAGATGAATTGGAGAAAGCATGGTCCAGTCATTCTGATTGCTTCTATTTCTAACTGCTATTTAGGGTTTCTACCATCCCTTTAAAAAAAAAAAACAAAACTAAGTTTAAAACAACTCAAGGACTTTATGCAAATCTGGTATACCTGGATTTTCTCTTATTGAAAAGTAAATAGTAAAACTATTTACTTAAAAAAAAAATAGAAACAGGAAAAAAATCACCTCTATTAAATTCTAAAGAGGCTGTACAGTTTCATGTGAGAACTGGCCCACTAACATTTGTACTGACCCTCCTTCAAATTGAGAAGGTCCCCAAAATGAAGAAACTCACAAGGAATGCTTCATTGAACTCAAAGGAGCAAGGAAATTGCCTCTGAAGCTGATGAACACAGTCAAGCCACTGCAGAAACACTGGGCAACGTTCATTCAGATCATCCGAGTTCTCCCCATGACCACACCGGTCAGCAAATTTATGGCCAAAATCCAGCCACTCCATTTCCACGAGGACCTGGAAACCCTGCAGGGAAGCACCCAGGAGAGATCAATTGTGCTAGACTATCCAGACTATGACAGTCCTGAGCCTGGTGTCACAGAAAGCAATCCCCTCTAACAGCCTCCCAGAAAGCCCACCTCACCTTGCCCTTGCTCTATCCCTGATAAGGCACACACTTAGGGAAATTTCCCAATTCTCTGAACTCTATTCCATGATGACTAAAATGGTACTAACTGCATTTATCTAAGCCCTTCTTCAATCTGTTTGTATTTTTAGCCTCTTGAATTCACTATATAAAAACCACACTTTTCCCCTCAATTTCTCTTTCAACATTTCTGCCTCTGGTGTTATACTAACAAAGTCAAATTTGTAAAAATTCTTCCACAGTCCAGGTTTAATAAGTATTTGCATATATTTTAGGGTACTTTATGATTTTTTTCCATCTTTAACCCAACAGTTATTTCAGAGTAGAGCTGCTTCTCCACAGGACACTTTGTGGTAATAGCTAGCATGCCAATATCCTTTTACAGATACCTCATTTTCCTGAGGTAGCTAAAAAGTTTTCTAAGTAGATAGACTGCAAAGGAAAATATGGCTGTATTCTCAATACCTTGTTACCCATCATCTGCCCCATTTTAAGAGGTGCAAGAACTGTAAGAGAAACCACCACAATTCAGCTCATAATATAAAGGAAAAATGATCAAAACAGAAATTTCACTTTCTTTAATGTAATCACCACCCCCAAAATTGGTAATATCACTCCAGAGGGGTGTGATATTACCCCCCCTGCCATCCTCACCCCACTCATCCTCAAGTACCAACTCCTACCATCTGGATGCACTCACCTCTATGGTTCGGTAATAAGGGTCCAGCAAGAGCTTAGCCAATGCCACAATCTGGGGGGTGCGGTCCCAGCCATCTGAGCAGTGCACCAGCACTGGCCGCTGATCCTGATCCACAGCATGCACTACCAGAAGCGCTGATTTCAGAAGCACAGACAAGTGATGGAGCCATTTTGTGCTTTCAAGAGCTGACAGCCAACTATAAAAACAGGAGGGGATTAGGAAATGCTGATTTTTACGGATTTACTGCATCATGCTCAAGCTTGTCAAATTACAAAGTAATTCCCAAAGATTTCTCTCCCCAAGTATAACACCGCCAAAACAAAAAAGCCTGTGTGTTTATAAAGCATGTGTCAGGATGAGACCCAAGTCCTACTATACAATAGAGAAGAGCGTTAGAAACAGGGGCTGCAATTAATAGGACCATCTTTTGTTCCAAAATCTGTATGGATGATTTCGAAGACAAAATATTTGATATTTTTCAGTTCAGAAAAGTGGCTCTTTCTGAAACCTTCTCCTGAAGGAAATGTAGCCACTTCTGAGATGTAAAACAGAAGATATTTAATAATCAGTAACTATGTTCAACAAGTTTTCGAAAAAAAAAAAAAAAAAAGTAAAGAAAAACTCATGAAGACAAATATGTCTGAAATATAAGCTGGATGCCATATACAAGAATGGTATACACAACATTGCCTATGACCCAGACTGTAACACCTACCTCTGTAAATGTTTACTGACTAAAACCGGATGGGCCCAACCTGATGATTTATACTCACACAAATTAGTGCATCCAATGGCCACATAATATTCCCGAGCTCAACAGACTGGATTCAGCAGGGATCTATAACCCTTTTTTTTTTTTTTTTTTTGAAAGACTTTTAGGGGCCAGGTGCAGTGGCTCATGCCTGTAATCCCAGCACTTTGGGAGGCTGAGGTCAGCGGATCACTTGAGGTCAGGAGTTCAAGACCAGCCTGGCCAACACGGTTAAACCCATCTCTACTAAAAACAAAACATTAGGCCAGGTGTGGTGGCTCACGCCTGTAATGACAGCACTCTGGGAGGCCAAGGCGGGTGGATCACCTGAGGTCAGGAGTTCAAGACCAGCCTGGCCAACATGGTGAAACCCCATCTCTACAAAAATACAAAAATTAACCAGGCATGATGGCAGGTGCCAGTAATCCCAGCTACTTGGGAGGCTGAGGCAGGAGAATTGCTTGAACCCGGAAGGCAGAGGTTGTAGTGAGCCAAGATCATACCACTGTACTCCATCAAAAAGACAAAATAAATTAGCTGGGTATGGTGGCATGTGCCTGTTATCCCAGCTACTCAGAAAGCTGAGGCAGGAGAATCACTTGAACCTGGGTGGAGGTTGCAGTGAGCTGAGATTGCGCCACTGCACTCCAGCCTGGGTAACAGAGCGAGACTGTGTCTAAAAATAAAAAAAATTTTTAAAAAGAACTTTAGGAATATCATCAGCCCTTGCTATCTGCCCCTGGAGAACAATCACAAGCTAATCACACTTTTTTTTTTTTTTTTTTTTTTTAAATAAATAAAGACTGGGTTTCACCATGTTGGTCAGGCTGGTCTTGAACTCCCAACCTCAGGTAATCCGCTCACCTTGGCCTCCAAAGTGCTTGGATTACAGGCATGAGCCACCACGCCCGCCCTTTTTTTTTTTTTTTTAACTGTGTTGACATTTTGTTTCTTGTGATTTCCCTCACCCCTCCCACTCCCTAAAAAAAGAGTTCTGATTTTTCCCAAATGTGATCAGATTTGTAGTTAAAATCACAAGTCAAGCCTTTCAAACAATGAGTCGGAGGAAGGAATAAACACGTCTGTCAGGGGACTCTGGGAAGGTTATAAAGGCCTACTAAACCTTGCAGAATAAGTATGAATTCTTAAGATAGTCTAAGGAAATGGGGTCTTTCCAGGCAAACAGAAAACAATGCAGTGCGTAAGTATTGGTTCTATATGCATTTGTTTGGATTACCTCAGAAGGCTAACACTATGTCTTAGTCATAACTGTACCCCCAGCACAGAGCCGAGCTTACAGTAGGGAGTCCCACTGTTTAATGAACTGTAAGTCTGTTATGGGTAAAAATCCAATCTTAAGACTTTCTATTTCCTAGCAGGTACCTGAGAAACATTTTTTTCTGATGGATCAACTGTTTATTTTCATTCTTCAAATATTCTTGAAAGGAACTAAAAGATAAGTCTTAGTAGAACAAATACTAAATTATCTCCTAGCCCGTGAAGAAATGGTAAACAAGAGAACCAGTGTGAGGTTCTCTTGACCTAACTATTATTAAATACCACTTGATGTTCTCTGTGACTAACAAAGATGTACTCCAAAAATCTGCCAGCCAGGGAGGGGCTGCTGAGAGACTCCCCATTCCCTTGTCCTATTCTCAACCTGCACAAGAAGCCTACTATCCCCTCATCCTCCACAGCCCCAAAAACAGGCCAGGGGGCCTACTTACAGCTGTCCCATCACTGCTACAGCTGCTTTTTATCCATGAGGGAGACTTCAGTGCAGCATTATGATTTGCTGCCAAATACATAAAAGCATTGCCTTCTACAAAATCCCCAAGACCTTTAAGTGGACCAGGCGAGGGCTAATTCTATCTTTTTGACTCTGACAGCTCTTTAAGAATTTTAATCTATGGAAGGTATTGGGGATCATGTCGTGTTGATTACATCTTTCATTTTATTGACAGGAAAACTGAGATATACAGTAATTAAGCCCCTTGGCCAAGGTCACACAGTTTGTGGCAGATCCACTGGGTCCTTAGCAAGACTCCTTCTACACACCACCCTAGGGAAGAAAGTGCTGCTAGCTTGGACCTGGAACTGTATAGCAAATGCAAATGGCTAATCCCCAAAGGAGGCAGCAAGCTCAGTTCTTCGGTCAGGCTTTCCCCAAAGGACACTGCTTCATCCTTTGGACTGATTATAGCTATGATGAATTTAATCATTTGCTACTGGCAGTCAGTATAAGTGGTCTAGGCAGCATCTGATTTAATAAACAAAGAATGCAGTAAAACTTGATGTGATCATGAGATCCACTGAATAAAACCCAGGGAAACAACTATGGGCTCCAGCACAAATACCAGAAACAAGAATGGTATACACATGAAAATGCTGTCTTCTCTGGCATCATATCTCTGGCTTTCTGAAATAGTAAAACAGGACTTTTAAATATTTATCTGTCCATTTTTGTTTTACAGAGCATTCTTCCTAATTTATCTTATAGTCAATCAGCATCACTGGAGAGGGTATTATTTCACCTTCCTCACTGCAAATGCCAGCCATTCATATTTAATAAGCAATAACAATCATGATAATGTTCCTAGTAAATGAGAATAGTTTAGAAACAAAGCAGATGTAAAAGGAACTGACCTAATGGCAACTTTAACCCCTTTAGAACATGATGAATACTGATTTTTCATGATAAAACATCCCATTTCACAACAGGTAAGTATCATTGTGGGACATCAGAAACTGAAGAATTAAATTACTTTGGGCTAAAGATGATGTGGAAGGGAAAGGTCCCAGGACAAACAGTAAGGCAATGCTTCTGTTTTGATGACTGAGATTTGTTCTGTGCTACAGATTTAAAAACCTTTCAAAGGGCTGTATATTCTCCCAACTCTTCCTCTGTGCTGCCATACTTCTGACCCAGGAAGGAGACACTTGCAGAGACTGGCCAAGAAACAGAAAGAAAGACTGCTCCAAACTAATTTTTTTTACCGTTAGTTCAAGGAAAGAATAAAACTGATTTCTTAAGAGCCATGCAAAATGAAAGCCAAGGCTAAGGACTTACTTTCCTGGATCTGGCATCTGAGTGCACAGCAACCGCAGAGACTGAAAACTCCTCCGAATAGAATGAATGTTTGCCATCCCCATAAACACAACTTCACAGTTCGGGTAATATTCTGGAGAAACAATAAAGAGAACACAAATATGTTGAATTTAAAGCCCACATGGCCAAATTTAAAAGAAAACTAGCTATAAAACAAACCCACTGCAGCTTCTGATTAATGAAACGGAAATGTTTTGAGATGCCTATTAGCCCGATCCTTTATAATAAGAGGAACACAGTGACTGAATTTTAACTATCTTTTTGAAAAGGGTAAAAAGGGAAGTTTAGATTTGTAAAGAAGCTACTGACATAAAATAAAAACTATTTTTTTTTAAAAGAAAGGCCTACTTTGATCTCACTCTGGCTTTACTTCTTGGGCCTTATCTAACTTGTGGCTTTGGAATCTCTTTTAAAAGAGCCTCGCAGAACAATGCTTTCACGCATTCAAATTTCACCTTGTGTACAGCTGCTTTCAATTACCAGCTTATACCACGTCTGAACAAACAGCCTGGTGCCTCTATCTGTGCCATAAGCACACTATTGGCACTGGGTGGAGTGTGGGGCGGAGGGGGGGGGGGTCTTTCCTTGGGGAAAGCTAGCATTCCAACAGTAACGGTGTTACAGTTTAGGACAGAGGCACCTTACCAGGGTTCTATGTTTACTGTTTCAATTTTCACCCCAGGTTTTCTAAGGAGAGGCCACTGAGGAGTTTGCTACAAGGCCAGTGATAAGCATACCCTCTATCAAAGGCAACAAAAAGCTTTTAGACAGCTGAGAAATTGAGCCCACTAAAGCAGCAGCTTCCAAACATGAACAGGCCTTTTTATGAGGAAAATCTGCTTTCCTTATCACCTAAAAATTGTCACAAAAAGGAAGATTATGTGACTTCACTGCACCTCCTCCTCCATTTCTCCTCAGAAAAGAACATACGGTGTCAAGAATCCAAAGAGCGGCTTGGCACTCTCACGACAGGACAGATGAGGAATATGGCTTGCTACTCATTTCAAATTGAGAACTAAGTCTCTGTTGGGCATGGGCTGCACTCACAAGGAGAAAGTATGGGGAACAAAGCACTATACACCTCACCTGGGCATTCGCAGCCTCCTCCTTTGGCTCGGTTTGCCACAGCAGCTGCATAGGAGCGTGCATCCAAGATCAAAAGCTTCTGCGGTTGGATGGCTAAACTCTCTGCTCCTGAAGCATTTGACAGAGAAGAATCTAGGGACATGGAGGGAGGGGGCACACTAAATGAAGCTGTCTCTCCCAGAACTGTGAAGAATTAGACTCACGAGTACATCTTATTGCACAAAAAAGGCTCAGTAAAATGAAATCTTCTAAACAAAACCCTTGATACATAGGTCTTTCCTCTTTAGTTTATTTTCTATCTTGCCTTCTTATGAAAGACGGGGAGGATTTATTGTCCAAAACTGAGTCCCAGAGTACACATGGGGTTTACACAGCCCAGTCTCTTGTACTTCATTTCTACACCTGTCATCCTTTCATGAAGCCTGGCACTTCCCGCCATGGTCTGCAGATACTGCAAGTCCCCAATTACATCAACACTCCATTTTTGTCACAATGGCAAGAAAGACAACAAACACACTAATATCTTGATTGAGGTTTGAACAAAGGGTCTTCTGATTCTTTGCCAAGAACCATGACTCCTCAAACAATCCCATCAAGTGAAGCTCTGCACTTTCACTTCTATAAGACTAAATCTGTGTCTTCTAAGGAAAAGGCCATTTCAAGAAAAGGTGCTTAGATGCTGCCACGGGTCCAGGGAGCACCTTACCGAACTCCACATCAGAAAGGTCTCCCCCATTGGGAAAGTCTCGAGAAGTATTCCTAGTTGATTGCTTGCTGCCACTCGATCGGGAGTCAGAGGCACAAGCTTTGGCTACTGATTGCACCAGGTGCTCATCATCTGCATTTCGCCAGCCCCACCAGCTAACCTCCGGCTGTCCACAGCGGGCAATGACAGCTCCATTGCTCTGGTGCCTGTGTGGGGAACAAGAGACAACTGTACCCATCCCAGGGGCCCCCATTCAGATGCCCGATACTCACACAAAAATAAAGTGGTAGACTTTAAGTGCCTTAATGAACAGTCTAATTCTAGGTTAAGTGTTGGGTCAGCTTCAAGTCCTCTCAGTATTAAAGAGGGTAGAAATCTTACACACCCAACAAGAATAAACAACAAAACCTGTGTGTCTTTCTCAATTATCATACCATCATGGAGATACCTGTAAAGTTACCCAAAAAATTACTAACAGGAGTCAGGCATAGAGGCTCATGTTACAATCCCCAGCACTTTGGGAGGCTGAGGCGGAAGGATCGCTTAAGCCCAGGAGTTCAAGACCAGCATGAACAACACAGTGAGACCCCATCTTTACAAAAAAATTTTTACAAATTAGCCAAGCATGGTAGCACATGCCTGTAGCTGCAGCTACTCAGAAGGCAGAGGTGGAAGGATCCCTTGAACCCAGAAGGCTGAAGCTGCAGAAAGCTATTATTGTGCCACTATACTCCAGCACTCCAGCTTGCGTGACAGAGCAAGACCTCATTTCTAAAAAACCAAAAAAATTAATGTGTACTCTTAGCAAAAATAAAGTAATAGTTGTAACTTAATTTACAGATACTACAGTAATTCTGCTACCGAATAATGAAATCTATTTCCTTTTTAATGCTGAACCAAGAGCCCACCTCTGGGAGTAAAACATTTACCTGGCCTACAGTGAACTGCTTTATAAAATTTCCTGAGATTTCATGAGTCACAAACTGCTCTTATTATAGGCAGATAGCTCAGTGAGCCAGCTACCCTTCCTCAGGCTCGTAGAGAGGAAGAACATATTCAGAAACCGTATTCTGACATATCCTTTTCCAATAGACAGATCAGAAATCATACAGTCTACTTTCAGGTGCTGTTATGACCCCAGACTTTTAACCAATAAAAAGTTAGAAAAATTCGATTACTTCACAGTAAAGAGAAATAGCTAGGATACTGAACCTCAAATAAGTTATGTCAGGTGAAAGAAGTCAGTCACAAAAGGCCACTTATTGTATGACAATTTACATGAAGTATCCAGAATGGGCAAATCTATATGGAGAGAAAGATTTGTGCATGTGGTGATTATTATAAACACCTAGTTACTTAACGGAGCTTGCCTAGTTCTAAGTAGGGGTTACTTAAAACCATTATGTTTCTATATAAAACTGAAGTGCTCTGTTTTAGTAGTGGGGGCTTTATTCATTGGACATCTTAATTATTCCGGGCTAGGGTGTCTGGGTGCCCTGTGAATGAGTTTTTTGGGATGATGAAAATGTACTACAATTTTTTGTTTTTAATCCTCAAGCTTACAAGGCAAACTAATTTGGGCACTAACCAAATTCCACTGAAATCACCAGTTTCCTTGTAGTTTTAAAATCCTCCCTCCCAAGGAGAGAAGTAGCTGTAAGTACTTGTGTATTGCCAACATGCTCAACTGGCTCATCTGTTGAATGGCGCCAAAATAGAAATAAAACTTCAATGATTCTTTATCACATGCCTCCTAGCAGTAACAGGTGCTGGGCAACCACTGAGGTGAATGACTCCACACCCTGCACAGGAGGCTGACTGGGCCTTTCCTGAGCATCCTCCTTCCTCAATGCTTCCCAGCAGTGCCCTAGAGGAACAGTAGATGGCATTCTTCAGGCTGGATCTTGGGTTTTAAGGGCCACTGTATTACAGTAGCTATTAGATTTCAACTGGGCTATTGCAATAAGCAATTCTGTTTTCTTCAGTCTTCTAAAATGCTTCAGACTACATGAAAGATAACTCAAACACTACCGTTAAAAATCTCTAAAGGAGTGCATTTCTATCACTAACAGAACCACTCAGGGTATAAAAATTATGATATCCAACAGATAGAGCCCTCACTACTAAAACACAGAATGCTTCAGTTTCATATAGAAACATAATTAAGTAATCCCAACTTAGATTTAGGCAAGCTCCCTTAAGTAACTAGGAGTTTATAATAATCACCACATGCACAAAGGAAAAAGCTGTGAACTGCACTACAGAAGGACACCCTTCACACCATCTTGCTGTGTTAAAGCAATCTCTGCCTTCAGTAATAAACCCAATTAAGTGCTCTCTCATCACAGTAGGACAAAGCCCTAATCAAGCACTGGTTCAGCATGGTGCTGTCAAGTAACTGCTGCTGGCAACCTCAGGAATCATGACCACAGTCTACCGACAACTAAATTCAGGAAATGGATGTCAAGAGTCACAGGCATCCTGCCACCTAGGATGGCAAAGCAGAGTATGGTGGAGGGTCCCAAACATTTTTCCACACACCCCTTACAAAGCTCCCAAATAATATACCAACCTAGTTTGAAGCTCAGCGATACAAGACACATGTTCTGAGACAGAGACCAGTTCCAGGAAGCCTGCCTGATTTTACATGGACTACACCAATAACTTTCATTTGTGATCTTTTGAAAAGACTTTCTTTGAAAAACTGCAAATAAAAATTTCATGTATATATATATATATATATCCCCTTGTGTCTCTAGAAAAAGGAGAAAAAAACCTAGAGTGATGACCTCTAAAATAAATTTTAGAAGGTAAAAAAGGGGTTCCCATTTTTATTACATTTTAAAAAGTTTTTTTTTCAACCAGCCCTCTTAGGTTTCTCTGCCCAAAGGGAGAATTCACCTAAAGCTTCTTATTTTGCAAATGAGAGTACTTTCCCCCTTTCGGTCAAAGTCAGCAATCCCCACAAATCCCATGGCTACTAACCTAACACAGCTGTTGGCTAGAGCAGCAACTGGCTGCTTTCCCCATTCCAGCTGAGCTGATCATTGATAAAACTCATAAATCCCTTCAGCTTTCACTACTCTCTAGTTCCTGTAGCATCCTTACCATCTGAATGATAGGTAAATTTGGTGACTGACTTTTCTAGGGGTGTGTGAAAACAACAGTGATGAGAATTGAGACTGAAAACGTAATGGGTTCCACTGGGCCAGAGCAAATACTTTTCCATCTCTCTCCATTCAGAGTAGGCATCAGAATTTGCCTTTAGTAGATTAAATGAACAAGCTGGTTACCTCTGTAGGAATTCCACAAGCAGACAAATCCCTTCCTACAATCTCAATATTTCAGTGGAATGAAGTTTCTAACTGTAAGCCACTGGATTGGCCCAACTCAGGGAGAGTCCAAAAAGCCAGCAAACTGGGAAAATGAAATGGAGAACGTAAACATTACAAAGAGATGACATCCGAAACCTTTCCAGAATAAGAAGGAATGACTTCTTTAAAATTTAACAGGCTTCTGTGGGAACAGAGATATTCACTGAATTATAAATGTAGCACTCAGAACCTACTCCAAATGTTGGTACAGAAGCCCAGTATTTATAGGCCCTCATTCAGAACCAGAACATATCTGCAAAATAAGAACTATCATTCCCATTGTGCATTAGGAACAGACTGAGGTTGGTGAGGGAACTTATTCAAAGTGCCTTAGCAAGGAGTGTAATAATATACCTGAACTCAGATCTGTGACTCCAAAATCCGTGCTCCCTCACCATGCCGCCATCCCCATCTAGAACTTGCATCCCTTGGCTCTCATGCCTCTGATCAACTAAAATCTTCTACCCAGTCATGCCCCAGCCTTCTTCCCTAAATGCTTCTTCTCAAAACAGAGTTCTTCCACATGTCAAAGTTTCAACTACAAAGACAATCAGAGCTAACCCAACTCTATATTCCCAATGATCACTTTCTAAGACTCGCCTCTCAATCCAAAACCTCTGCTAACATCTGACGCTAAATGCTTAGTAAGCACATTATCTTCTCACAGAATGTAAGAAGGATCTTGAGATAGCAAGTCCAGCCACTTTACGACTAAAACTTCCTTATCTGTGTCAAATGAACCACCAGCTAGTGTTCTGAATGCAGTCAGTACTGATGTGTTACTGGAGGAGAAGCTTTAGCAATACAGCCTAGAAAGTTCTCTGACCCCTCCCCTTCCCTCCCCTCCCAGGTTAGCAGCAGCAGAGGCAGCAGACCACATGCAGCAGGGCAGCAGCACCAGCCTAAGCTGGGACTGGTCCAGTGTAACCTACCTGTACACGACGGCAGGGATGCGCTTCCAGGATCTGAAACTTGCTACACTTTCTAGTTCTTTGTCAGTGATCCAGGCAGGCACTATGAGCTCTTGAGGATAGCTACCACATAATCTAAAGAGAAGATGAGAAGTGGGGAGAGTCAGGGAGAGATGAAGGGGGAAGAGACAAGGAGAGAGAGAAACACTAGGTGAGCCAGCACAAGGATAATGATCTCACTGCCACAGAGCTAAAGGCAATGAGGTGCTTTATTCGAGTTTTGGTCTCAACAGAATGGGTTATACATTGATTTTGTTTTGGTTTTTTTTTTTGCCTTAAATGTTTACTTACGTGCATATATCAAGGGATACTACCTTGGATTGCTCCACTTGATGCTACCTTTTGGAAATCTGGCAATCTTAACTATCAAAGAAGAAAAGCGGGAGTTGAGGGTCGGTCTCTTTATACTCCATTATAACTCTTCTGCTCTAACAAGTACATAGGTTATTTCTAACTACATGAGCACCCAGTCTAAGAACTAAGTCTGTCAGCTCTACCAGACCCTCAGTGAAGGACAAAAGCCCACAATTTCAAGTTTCCAGAGACTTCACAGGATTAATTCATTCTGTGATTTGAACCAAACAGGGTGTCAACCTTAGAGATAACAGGTGCAACCACGGGTCTGCAAAACCAATACCACAAGCCAGCCTATTTGCATACACAACCTCGGTCCCACTGAACCAGGTTAGTAATGTGACTAAGCTATTAATCATAATTTCCATTAAAAAAAACTTAAGAATTAATTATACTCAGGGTGGGGGGTAAGCTTTTTTTTTCATTAGGGAAGATGCTAGCTGCAGTCAAGCTGGTATCCTGGGAAGCAATACTTTCAATAGATTTTTACTTAAAGGACAATGTCTCTTTCTGGATAATCCAGTCTTCTTTTTCAATAGTGAAGGCAATAAGGCCTCTAATCCAAATCCTAAAACACACAAACTCCACCACACCACCAACCCCTTGCCCTAGCCTATCCTATACATAGGGGAAAGTGCAGAAAAACACAAAATAGCTTAGGAGTTGGGGGTTTTGATCATTTTGCATTTGTCTCTCTCCTGTTCTCAATTTCCAGAAGATTAAGTCTCAGGAATTTAAAAGCCACTGAACAAAGAGAATGGCTACGACTAATAGTAGCTATACAAATTTCCTAACGCCTATTTACAAACTCCTAAAAATAAGCTGAGACCCAGTAATGATGGCTAATATCTAACCATAAATCTCATTCCCTTTATTTCATCTTAAACTCAAGAGTAAATCTGGCTCTCACTCTTCATAGTAGGAAAAAAACATCCTGTTGCTTCCTTCCCCCAACCCTCATTTTGTCTTATGGTGGTAACATCCTAAAGACTGGCTCTGAGGTGGAACTAGTAAATTCCTTGAGACAGTTTTGCTCTGTTACCTAGGCTACAAAGCAGTGGAGCAATCATGGCTCACAGCAGCCCTGACCTCCCAGTAGCTGGGACTGCAGGCATGCACCACCATGCCCAGCTTATTTTTTTAAAAAATTTCTGGCCAAACGCAGTAGCTCATGCCTATAATCCCAGCACTTTGGGAGGCTGAGGTGGGCATATCACCTGAGGTCAGGAGTTTGAGACCAGTGTGGCCAACATGGGGAAACCTCATCTCTACTAAAAATACAAAAATCAGCCAGGCCTGGCAGTGTGTCCCTGTAATCCCAGCTACTCAGGAGGCTGAGGCAAAACTGCTTGAACCTGGGGAGCAGAGGCTGCAATGAGCCGATGTGCCACTGCACTCCAGCCTGGGAGACAGAGTGAGACTCTGTCAAAACTGAGCTGAAACAATCCTATCTTGGCCCTCCAAGAAGTTAATTTTTAAAATCCCTATTAATTAGGAATTACTTTCCAATAAGTCTGGCTTAATTCAGTTTTTTTACTCGAGCTAATCTTCTGAACATTCTGTTCACGGTCCTATAGGTACCACACTGCCTAGTACTCAGCTCTTCAGTATGCACTACCTCATTACTTGTAGATAAACAATTCCCAGTATAACAGGTTACACTCAGGAAAGCATTAATGCAGCCACAGACTCCCTGAGGCCTGAGGGAGTTTTCACCCTCCTTTGCTTTGACTCGTCACTGAGAACAGGCAAAGGTATAAAAAGTCTGTAGCTTCCAACTCTTCAAAACACCCTGGGTTCTTAACTCCCTGGAGAAGGTCCACATTAAGAACTATGTATAGCAATTAGCTACAGCTTTTCCAGTGAAAAATGAAACACTCTGATGGCTAGCCACAAACAGACCAGCAAAATGGCTATCATAATTTGAGACAGCTAAAAGGAAAAGGACCACAGATTAGTGATGCAGGGAAATATAGGAGAAGGATATATTTTAAGATTTCAGATACATAAATATCCTGGACAATTTTTGGTTTTATAGAAATTTGGATCACCAAAATAATAGTAGTTAACTGTCCTCCCCCACCAAAGCATTTACACATTTTAAGGAAAAGGTTAATGGCTAAATGGTTATTTTTTATTTTTAGAAGGAGTCTCACTCTATCACTCAGGCTGGAGTGTAGCAGCACAATCTCAGCTCACTACAACCACTGCCTCTCAGGTTAAAGAAATTCTCCTATCTCAGCCTCCCAAGTAGCTGGGACTATAGGTGTACACCATCATGCCCAGCTAATCTTTGTATTTTTAGTAGAGACAGGGTTTCCCCATGTTGGCCAGGCTGGCCTGAAACTCCTAATCTCAGGTGATCCACCTCGGCCTCCCAAAGTGCTGGGATTACAGGCATGAGCCACCACGTGTGGCCAAATATGGATATATTAATACTTAATGATTAAATGATCATAACAGTGAAGCTGGTTTTAGATCAATATGTTAAAGGACAGAATACAGACTGAGCATCTTTAATTCAAAAATCTGAAATGCTCCAAAATCTAAAACTTTGAGTGCTGATATGATGACACAAGTGGAAAATTCCACACCTGACCTCATGTGATGTGTCACAGTCAAAACTTTCTGTACAAAACATCATGCAGGAAATCATTTAAAATATTGCATAAAATTACCTTCCAGCTATGTGTATAAGTATATGAGACAAAAAATTGTGTGTTTAGACTTGGTTCCCAGCCCCAAGATAATCTCATGTTTATGCAAATACTCCAAAACCTGAAAAAAAATCCAAGATCTGAAACACAGTCCAAGAATTTCAGATAAGGGATACTCAACCCGTACTTATGTCTATTTCACAGCACCCGGAGTAAAATTACAGTCATAAAAACTAGTTCATAAATGTTCTGTGTTACTGCTTATGAGACCACTGATCCTATCTCTGATGTGATGCCAAGTGGTGATGAGAAAAATGGTAACTGCTTGCTACAGGCAAATACATTATTATCTAGACATGCATGTACCAGAAAAAAACAGAGGCCTAACGGGGGTAGAAGGGAAGGTTCTAGGATCCTGTTAAGAATCACTTTCCAAACTCCAAAAATAGCAATGGGAACAAGGTTCAATAACTACTCTGAAGATCATGCCTTTATATTTAATAAATAAAACTATTTCAAAGAAAAAGTCTAAGTTCAAATGTTCTGTCACATGAGAACCGGGGTTTCTGCAAAGGCACTGGCTGTGAAAGACAGTCTACAGGGATCCATATAACTCACTTGTACTTCTCATTGATGTTGGAAATCCTCCAGGCATTGTTCATATCAAAACCCATTCTCTCCACCTCGTTTTTAAACCTTGAAGTTACGTGCTCCCCTAGAGGCCAAAGATAAACACCAGAAAGGAAGAAATGAATACCATTTTGCGAAACAGGTAGAATAAAAACAGAAATATACATATGTTACATATATATAATATACTTTTACATGTATATGCATATATATGTAAATAAATAAATATATATATATATATATGTATATTTTGAGACAGAGTTCCACTCTGTCACCCAGGCTGAAGTACAGTGGTGTGATCTCGGCTCACTGCAACTTCCGCCTCCTGGGATCAAATGATTCTTGTGCCTCAGCCATCAGAATGGCTGGGATTACAGGTGCATGCCACCATGCCTGGCTAATTTCTGTACTTTCCGTAGAGATGGGGTTTCACCACATTGGCCAGGTGGTCTCGAACTCTTGGCCTCTTGTGATCTGCCCACCCCAGCCTCCCAAAGTGCTGGGATTAGAGGCGTGCTGCGTCTAGCCTGTATATTTTTAAAGATAGGAATTGTATAAATAATAAAGTAACATATTTAGTTTTAGTTTAGAAAGATCCCTGTCAGGTTATGATTATGAAGAGGAAAGAAATTAATTTGATCAAGAGTTGTTATCTCATCTAATCTTTTCAATCAACTCTGAGAACAGTATCACTGAGCTCATTTTACAATGGACAAAATTACAACAGAGAAGTTATTATGGCAGGTCTATCTGGCCCCAAAATTCATGCTCTTGTCACTGGCTACTTTCCTGCTTCCACACTCAGACTGACAGTACCCTTAAGAAATAAAATCAATAACAAGATTACCACAAGTAGCAATAATTCCTCATCCAAAACCCTTTGATCCAAATTTTAGAACTTGAGAGTTTTCCAAACGTTCAAAAGGTAAAATCGTGCATATAATATTCGGCTCACGCCCTTAAAAGGATCTCCTTAAAAAAGTACTAATATTTCTTCTGTGAAGGGTTTGATCATTCATACCAGGTGGGGTAAATAAAGCAACAAATAGCCTCACATCAGCTCAGATCAGGTCCAGCCAAGATACCAAATAGGGTATGAAAAACATTCTGGTTTCCAGAGCCTTTTAGATGATGGAATTGCAGGTTAATAAACAGGTCACAGAATTGTAATTGCCAGCCAGGAATCTCAGGAAACACCGTGCTACTAAGTGCTGATCGTTTCTAAGAACAGCCACCCAAACTGGTATAATCTGGCTGTATTTGCCTGAATGAATCTGTCTTTCCTTTCCTGAGGAGAGCAAAACAAAGGTAAAAATGAAGCTAACATAAATTCAGTAAATCTGAAATAACTTTCTTCCTTGAAAACATACAGTCCTAGGGCAGTATGTTATTTTTAAAAATATTAAGCTGTACCTCTAACATACAGTGTTATAGGTTGTAAAATAAATGCTGGCAGGACTGGAAGAAACCACAACAACAAAAGCACAAAACAGACTTCACTTTGGTGATCAAAGTATAAAGCTTTGTTCTCCCTGGGAGAGGAGCTACAGAATAGGAAACAGCAATTACTTGAATGGAAGACAATTCTGTTAAACTACTTCCCATTTAAACTGCCTTTCTTCAGCTCAAGCTAGGTATTATGTTTCCTGAAGGAGAGCTATAAAAAGATGAGGTTGAGAGGCACAAGAAAAAATAGCTAAATCCATCCCATTTTGGAAAAGTTTTAGAAGCAATGTAGCAGGCTTCCGAATAGGAAAAACACTATCTGAACTGGGGTGCCATCTGTCTAAAAATTGCAAAGAATACTGCCCATCAAGAATACTAAGCCAGATGTGGTAGCTCATGCCTGTAATCCCAGCACTTTAGGAGGCTGAAGCGGGGGACTGCTCAAGACCAGCCTGGGCAACACAGTGAAACCCTGTCTCTACAAAAATGCAAAAATTAGGTTGTGGTGGTAGGTACATGCCCTAGATACTTGAGAGGGTGAGGTGGGAGGACTACCTGAACCTAGGGAAGTTGAGGCTGGAGTGAGCCATGATCACACCATTGCACTGCAGCCTGGCCAACAGAGTAAGACCCTGTCTCAAAAAAAAGGAAAAGAAAAAAAAAAAAAACAAGGAGACTTTTTTTTGTCCTGCTGTACAATGGAGACTAATTCATAATCCCAATCTAAAAGTTGCAAAACTGTGGCAAATTCCAAGTTCATTAAGAGATCCTTTGCTATGTGCAGTAGCTCATGCCTGTAATCCCAGCACTTTGGGAGGCCAAAGCAGGTGGATCACGAGGTCAGGAGATCGAGATCATCCTGGCCAACGTGGTGAAACCCCATCTCTACTAAAAATACAAAAATTAGCTGGGAACGGTAGTACGTGCCTGTAATCCCAGCTACTCAGGAGGCTGAGGCAGGAGAATCGCTTGAACCAGGGAAGTCAGAGGTTGCAGTGAGCCAAGAGAGCACCACTGCATTCCAGCCTGGCAACAGAGTGAGACAGCATCTCAAAAAAAAAAAAAAAAAAAATTATTTTTTCCCTACTCTGGGATATAGCTCCAAGTCTTTGCAGAAGGTAAAAGTATTTTGTTAATGATTTTTAATATTTTTTGTGCTTTTCCTGAGCTGTACATTAATGATCTTCTCCATTAATAGCTCTTAGGGTAAGACACAGATACCCTAAAAGGATCTTGTAATTTAAAAATAACCACTGGCAAAAAAATAACAGTGACAGCAATTTACTTCATAGAACTATTTCCCAAACGAGGACTTACAACCACCATCCAGAGCACAAAATTCTGAGCTATATGCAGAAATATATACTATCAGGTATAGAAAATCTTATTTGAGTTTTTGAGAATGGGAATGAGTTTTAATTACTTTTATATCCTCTAATGCAGTAACTTCATAAACTTTGAAACTGACCATCACAATCCACAATAAGAATTATGTTTTACATTACAATACAACAAACATGTTTTAATTTTTTCTTGCTATGTAGCCTAAGCTGGGTATGAACTCCTAAACTCAAGCAATCTTCCACCTCAGGCTCTCGAATAGCTGGAATTACAGGTACACAACACTGTGCCCAGCTAATACAACATATATATATATTTTTTTTTTTTTTTTTTGAGGCGGAGTTTCGCTCTTGTTACCCAGGCTGGAGTGCAATGGCACGATCTCGGCTTACTGTAACCTCCGCCTCCTGGGTTCAGGCAATTCTCCTGCCTCAGCCTCCTGAGTGGCTGGGATTACAGGCACGCGCCACCATGCCCAGCTAATTTTTCGTATTTTTAGTAGAGACGGGGTTTCACCATATTGACCAGGATGGTCTCGATCTCTTGACCTCGTGATCCACCCGCCTCAGCCTCCCAAAGTGCTGAGATTACAGGCGTGAGCCACCGCGCCCCCCCAACATACATTATTTTTTAAAAAGCATTTCACAAAACAGTATCCACTCTTACTATGTGTGTGACACAAATTGATGTTTTCTATTCCATTCCTTTAAAATTAGATTTCGTGACCCACTACTGATCATTTGAAAACCACATCATTACATACATCAGGCATTTAATCAGTTCTTGCAAACTGTGTGAGATGTTCACTCATGTTTACTTAACCAGAAAAATAAATACAAACATATTTATTACTGGATTTCCGTTAAAAATTTCTATGTCAGGTCTCAATCAATTCAACATTAAATACACTGTGATATCTCAACTTACTTTAAATACTGGGGCTATAAGGTTTTTGCTTGGCTTTATATTTCAATTTCAACCCTTCCTATCAGCATTTGTCTCTTTCAACATTTTTTTTTTTTTTTTTTGGAGACAGAGTCTCGCTCTGTCACCAGGCTGGAGTGCCGTGGCATGATATCAGCTCACTGCAACCTCTGCCTGCTGGGTTCAAACTATTCTCCTGCCTCAGCCTCCCGAGTAGCTGGGACTACAGGCACGCACCACCATGTCCAGCTAATTTTGTGTTTTTAGTACAGATGAGGTTTTACCATGTTGGCCAGGATAGTCTCAATCTCTTGACCTTGTGATCCGCCAGCCTCCCAAAATGTTGGGATTACAGGCATGAGCCACTGCACCCAGCCTACATTTAGTATTTCTTGTACTACAAATAATACAGTCCAGCAATTTTCATTTTAGTGGAAGTGAAGAACTTTCTTTTTAAAGGCAATGAAGTTCCCTAACTCCCTCTATCATAAGCACAGTGTTAATCAGCAATCTAAAAAATTTTCCCCCAAAAGTCTAGCTCCCTGACTGATCCTGAGTATTCAAGCCCACAATTACATACAGCTTAACGGCCTGGGACAAAAAGGATAGGCTTTTACCTGACAGGTGAGGAAGCAGACCAATACCAGAGTCAGAGAAGGTTAAGAACTATCTCTTCCAGATTTTCAAATACGGAGAGAGGAAATAAGCTTTTTCTATGTACAAAGGTCCCAGTAAATCCTCTAGATGCAACTTCCTGGACTGTATTCAACCCCGGAAGACAGATAAATAGGTAGCTTGACAGCAGTGTTAAGACCCAGAGTCATATGCTTTTTGTGGATAAAAAAGATGGGCTTAATGGACATTTCACACGAGAGAGGTTAGATAGGTAGGCCTGATTCTACTAAACTGGCAGCTGAACTGCCCAGTCATCTGTCAGGCCTCCAGATTAACATTTTAGTACACAGCCATCACCAACAAGCCAGTTGCAATGAGGAGCAGGAAATTAAGGACATGAGAGAAAAGCTTTTAGCTTTAAGTCCAGTTCTTTTTTAGAGTTTGAGGGGCTAAGAGAAGAGTCAAGAACTTGGCAAAGGCTTCTGCAGGTTTCAAAGGTGAACTCCAACAGCGATGTTGAGACTTCTTCCGAAGCTGATTAAGCCCTAGAGCTGTGGCCATAGTATGACTGGCTTAACTATGACAGGTTCAACAGCCAGAAACTAAGATTTATATGAATAGTAAGACAATGATGTAATTTTCTCATTTCCCTCCTCTTTGAAAACATTCTACTTGTAACAGGCTAAGTAGAGAAGACTCCATAAAAGGCTTTATTAACTGCTGTAAGATTAACTTCCACAACTCAGAGTCTACACTTGTGATCTCATGTACTGGGGCAGATTATAAAAAGGCATGACTTTGAAATATCGACAGTGTTAGCTCATCCTAAAGATGATTTGTAAGTATATGGTTGTCTGGTATGCTAGTATTTGATGAGTAATGCTACAGACACCACCACCACTCAACAATATTAGGTAGTGACAAAGAACCAGGCTGACTGGCTTTAAAAATGTCCTCGAGGTTTTTTTTTTTTTTTTTTTTTTAATTAAAACCAAGTTTTTCCTTTGTACTCCATAGTGAATATACATAAAAGGCGAAAGCCACATATACACATACATTCAACTAAGTCACCGAAATACAAGATTCCATGCTGAGTGGTGGCAGGTTAACATCAGTGTGGACTGTGTGTACTGGGAAGAAACAAAATGCAAGCCTTACTCAATCTCTAGCCAATCAGGTATGATTGCATTACCTTGTAGTTGCATAATTTCCAAAGTGTTTTCATAAACATGGCACATAGGGGGCACTTAAACATTGACTGAATTGCACTCTGCAGCATTAACAGATTTGATCTTCAGGATACCTGGATCAGCCTGGGCAGGAAAAGCATGAATGTCCCAGTTTAAAGCACAAAGGAAATTAAAGTATAGAGAACATAAATTCTTTGCCCAGTTTTTTTTCCTTCTTCCAACTAAATCTCAGAGTATGGATTTGAATTCTGGTTTCCTAAGTCAGTACTCTACCCCTCATGTACCCTTGCATCACAAACCTACAGAAAGACAGGACACTATAGATACCTTTATGGCCAAAGAATATCAGATACCATCAGAAGAGGACCAAAGTTATCCCACCTCAGAACAAAGCCACTCGTAATTAAAAGACCAGAGTGAGGTTCTGACTTGGCACCTCTCAGGAATATCCTAAGAGTTTGCTCAAATTCGAAAGAAACAACTAAAATTATCAAGGGACTAAAAAAGCTCTCCTAAAAGATACGGACTTCTCGGTCTGTGGTTGAGAGAACGGCATAGGAGAAAGCAAACCTTGCTGAGAAAATGCTGGCAACTCAAAATTAGAGAATACCTCTTGGAGACGAGGGCCTTAAAGTTCTAATATAACATAATACAGCAGGATGTACTCATTATCCTAGAAGATGGTAGAAACTAAAACTTTAATAAAGACGCAATGGTTAAAAACTCAGAAAATGTACGTGTAAGATTTGTAAACATCAGTCTGTAAACTTTTTTTAAAAATAACCCAAATTTGAGAAGAGCAATAAAAAATTTTTTTTCATGTGATGGCATCTCAATAAGAAAAAAATAGATGCAACAATTGGAGTGAAGTGAGAGACAGTTCAAGCATATTCTCATAAACTTCCAAGGTTGGTGTGGTCTCCTGTAGATGACAGAATTCTGCTAGCATGGGTACGCTTGTGAGAAGCTGGGATTCTGAGGCTTTCCCTGAGGCTCCATGAGCTCAGGTGCCTTCCCCCACCCCCCAAACTCTGTATCCACATTCCCCCCACCCCCAAACTCTATCCACAGCACACCCCACAGTCAGGTCTGAATAACTGAGAACTGGTTTTAAGTCCTAGCTCTGTCGTCAGTGACTGGCACTGGGACCTGACAACAGGCTTTTTACCTCTGAGTCTCCATTTCTTTGGCTCCCAAAACAGACACCAACCTATGTGGCCTGTTTGACAAGGTCATGAGAAGCAAACAAAGGTATTTATCAAACTTTAAATACTGCTTATGTTATAAGCATTTTAATATAAAGGAACAAAAATGTGAACCAAAAGCATCAATCAGTGATAGGGCCAGAAAATAAAGTGAATAAGCATAGCAAGATTAGCCTCAAAGTTTAAAATGACCCAGGGCAAACTTGTAAGATTGAAGATTCAGGATTAAAATTTTAGGTTTCAAGAAAAAAGTCCCAAGAGTATTCTTTACTTGAAGGATGCTCACAACTTTTCACTGCATACACTTCAAAACCTGGCACACTAAAAGTATTGAACCAGCAAAGTTCTATCTATGACCACAAAGTTTACAGAAAACTACATGAAGAGAAATAACATGAACTTGGCCAAAGCCATTTCTGAAGGAGAATAACAGTGAAGGGGACAGACTGTATGAGAAGTCTCCCCACCTCCTCTATCTCCCCCCTCCCCCCTCCCCCCTCCCCCCCCCTCCTCCCTCCCCCTCCCCCCTCTCTCCCCCTCCCCCCTCCCCCTCCCCCCTCTCTCCCCCTCCCCCCTCCCCCTCCCCCCTCCTCTCCCTCCCTCTCCCCCCCTCCTCTCCCTCCCTCTCCCCCCCCCCTCCCTCCCTCTCTCCCCCTCCTCTCCCTCCCTCTCTCCCCCTCCTCTCCCTCCCTCTCCCCCTCCTCTCCCTCCCTCTCTCCCCCTCCTCTCCCTCCCTCTCTCCCCCTCCTCTCCCTCCTTCTCTCCCCCTCCCTCTCCCCCCCTCTCCCCCCTCCTCTCTTTCTCCACGCCCCCCCCACCCCGTCCTCTCTCTCTTTTGTCACATGTTAAAATCTACAATATATTTGTTCTTCATAGGCACATGGCCTCTCTGGACCTCTTTCTTCATCCATGGAATGAAAATGGTGAAATAAGTAATGTTTGACTTGAAAATTTTAAGATAGAAAAAGACCATTTTATATTCTACAGCTTATTCCCACACCTCTGTGCCTTTGTTCATGCTACTTGCTCTAATATTATTTTTCCCATTCTCTAACCAATGAACTCCTATTCAACTTTCCAAGCTGATTCAAAAGCCACTTTCAATATGAAGTCTTCCCACACATGTATACAAAACTCATAACTCTCTTTTATTAAGCTTCCATAATATTTATAAAACCTTATTCTAGTTGAGCTGTTTTTAGGCCCAGTAGATTGTGATGCCATCTAGTGTTCTTCCCTTCCTGTGGAAGGCAGAAAACATGTTATTTTAAGCTGAGAAGAAAGCTGGACACATGGTAGGTGCTCCCTAAAATATACACTGATTGCTTCTGTGTCCCACTGCATGTTAAAAGTACCTCCATCAGTAGCTTGATAAAGTCCCTGGCCATTTGTGCATTTCAGAAAGGCCTACCTGGTCTGCACAGGTCTCCATGTTGCTCTTTTTCACTGGCATAGACCTCCATGCACCAAGCATGGTATGCAAATGAGAAGAGATCTTCTATTTTAGCAGGTGGTCGAATTGCATTGTTTAGTCTCTTCAGCCACTCTTGACACTGCTCAAAGGTGGAAAACTGACACCTTTGGTGAAGTCAAACAGTATGGATGTAATCAGAAGACAGTCGAAATGAAATGTAAGAAAAGCCATTATTTCAAGAATGCCCACTTGTAGTGAAGTGGGAACTACAATCAAGAAAGCATCTGAGTCAATCAGTCATTCACATGTTCATTATCACTTACAAGAAAAATACATGTTAGCCAATAAAACAAAATATCCAAAAGAAAGAAGCTGACCATGTGGAAAATCTATTTTTTAGACTAATAGAATCTCTAAGATTCATTAATCACAATTATTACCAAAAAAATGGCTGCTATTCTTTTATGAGTAGAGTTCTACTTCTTCCATCAAAGATTTATGGTTGTCCCTCACTAAAAATGTTTAGAAAAATCCTTTTTGTTTCATAATAAGATATTAGATCAAGTTTAAAAACCACAGCATTATTTTTAGCCAGTTAGGGACTAATTTCATTATTTAGCTATTAGGACAAATCAGATCCAAAAGATAGACTGCACTGTAACTTTCGGCTATGACCACATAGAGAACAAAACAATTCTACTGTCAATTGCAATTTCAGTATATACAACTAATGAGTTAAAATAATTAGTGAAAACTAATTTATTAAAGATGGAGGCCAGGTGCAGTAGCTCACACCTATAATCCCAGCACTTTGGGAGGCTAAGGTAGGCAGATCATGAGGTCAAGAGATCAAGACCATCCTGGCCAACATGGTGAAAAGTCCCATCTCTACTAAAATTACAAAAATTAGCTGGGTGTGGTGGCGCACGCCCGTAATCCCAGCAACTCAGGAGGCTGAGTTCAAGAATCTCTTGAACTCGAGAGGCAGAAGTTACAGTGAGCTGAAATCGGGCCACTGCACTCCGGCCTAGCAACAGAGCAAGACTCCATCTAAAAGAAAATTTAAAAAAATAAAATGAAATAAATAAAGGTGTGTTTAGGCTGGGCACAGTGGCTCATGCCTGTAATCCCAGCACTTTGGGAGGCCAAGATGGGCAATCACTTGAGGTCAGGAGTTCGAGACCAGCCTGGCCAACATGTCAAACCCCCCATCTCTAATAAAAATACAAAAAAAATTAGACAGGCATGGTGGCATGCACCTGCAATCTCAGCTACTTGGGAGGCTGAGACAGGAGAATCACTTGAACCAGGGAGGTGAAGGTTGGAGTAAGCCAAGATCACACCACTGCACTCCAGCCTGGGCAACAGAGTAAGACTATCTCAAAAATAAATAAATAAAAATAAAGATTTGTTTAAATATTTGGCCTTTTTGAATGCAATGTTAAGAAAGTAAGTAATAAGTAACCTTCTTAAACTGAGTTGTAGCCAGTATCGGTCAAAAATAAGCCAAATCTCACTGACTAAAAATCAATTTTAAAAATATTTTAAAACCATGGGGTCACCTAAACCTCTCCCTTGTCCGAATCATGGTGGCTCATCAATATGCCAACACATAATGTTTACTGGCACCCCAGAACAAGAAAGAATGCAGTAAGAACTTGTGGAATTTAAGACCTCTAGACCAATTTAAAATGCACTTCAGGCGTCGTTGTTGGTTTTTTGTTTTTTGATACGGAGTCTTGTTCCGTTGCTCAGGCTGGAGTACAATGGTGTGATCTCAGCTCACTGCAACCTCTGCCTCCCAAGATCAAGTGATTCTTCTGCCTCAGCCTCCCAAGTAGCTGGGACTACAGGCACGCACCATCACATCCAGCTAATTTTTGTATTTTTAGTAGAGACAGGGTTTCGCCATGTTGGCCAGGCTGGTCTTGAGCTCCTGACCTCAAGTGATCCACCCACCTCAGCCTCCCAAAGTGCTGGGATTACAGGCATGAGCCACTGTCACAGCCTGCAACCATTATAGTTAACATCAGATAAAAATCATCAATAAATGCTAAACTTAAGGAGAAATTTTTACGAGAAGCGAGGACATTTGCATTGTCTCAAGTGCCTCCCCCACACTGTTTTTAGTTGCAAGAGAGAAAATGCAGAAATTATACTGAAACCAGATGACATATTGACTGGGATAATCAAAATTAACATCTCCAGTGAAGGACATGAACACTGTACTTCCCTATGTAATACGGTATCCTGAAAAGGACGTGACATCATATATGCAGTATTCTAGTTGGGAAAACATAACCTCAGTTTAACGGAGGAAACACTGGACAAACATAAAATGTGAAACATTCCATTAAAACAAACGACTGTATTCTACAAAATGTGAGTCGTAAGAGACAAATAGGGCTATAGAAAATGTTCCAGATTAAAGAAAGCTACAGAATCATGACAGCTAAATGGATACTGTACTGAGACAGGTGAGAGAGAATGCTATAAGAAACATTAATAGGTCATTAGGTCAACTGACAAAATTGGAAGAACATGTATAGTAGACTGGATAAAAGTATTATCAATGTAAAACTGAAAACTGATGATGCTGTAGTTATATAAGAAAATATTCCTGTTCTTAGGAAAGCACGCTAAAGTATTTTTTTTAAAGCCATGATTATGTAACAAACTGTTCAGGAAAAGAATATCTCTCTCTCTCTCTCTCTCTCTCTCTCTCTCACACACACACACACACACACACACACACACTCTGCAAATAATAAAGCAAATGGTAAGATGTTAACAAGTCAATCTGGGTAAATGGTGTACTGATGTTCTATTTCTATTTTTGCACTTTCGTATATTTAAAATTATTTCCAAATTTAAAAAAAAACATCTTTCAACATAGCAAAGTATTCATCCTACAGATAAAATATCTTGGGCACAAACTACTCAGAAAATATTCCTAATGAGGCTAATCTTCAAAAAGTATCTTACTAAGTTACCAAACAATGGACTCATTTTTTAAAAAACATTTTCCACACTAAACAGCAACACAAACATACCACCACATACCTGATAACTTTGCAGTCTTTGCAAGTCAAATGAAGCTGAAATATATCTCGGCATTCAACACTTTCTATAAGCTGTAATGGAACCTGCAATTTAAAAAAATGAAGTCTTCTTGGTCATAAAGAAAACTGCATCAACCTTGCTTCTTCAATGTGTCCAATAAGACTAGATATATAAGGGAAAGCAACAAAAACAGAACTGCAAACTTATCTGGATCAAGAGTACTCAAGTGATTTACTGCAGAGTGAATTAGAACATCCCTTTATCTCTAAATCAGTGGTCTCAAGTCATGTCACAGCATGCGGGCAACAAAGAGGTGGTACCAACTTTGGAAGAGGAGAATCTCTCTCTCAGGTACTAAACTCTCGAGATCGAAGTACTACTTCTAGATGCTATAACTGACTATGATTTGCAATGATGCAATGACACAGAAGCTGAAGGGAACCAGAATGGTAATACTTTCTTGCTTATAGAAAAGAACTACAGATCAGAATGGCAGTGGGAGACTCTGTTGTTTGCCTCAAATGAGAGAGTGGGCTTATGGCTTTAGTGTTAGCCAATGAGGCTCCTGAAAAAGGCTAGAGGTCTAAGCTGCCTGTAGATTGCACAGAAAAGACAATGGGACAATAGCTGCTGGCCAGGCTCTCTAATAAATAGAATAGACTCAAAGATATGAAGGAGGAGGAGAAGGCCATACAGTGATCAAAGATGCTAAAACTATAACTGTGTTTGACTTGCTTCAAAAAATCAATTAGGAGTCCTGTTTGCCAAATGGGGCTTGAGGTCTGAACAAGCTAGAATGATTCCTCCCTGTCATTCTGGTCTGCAGACTCTACTGGACACAGAATTATGTAAAACAGCAGACAGATAAAAGGGAGACACATAGAAGTCGAAGCATCCAGACAGGGTGCCAAATCTTGAGGGAAATATGAGGATCCTCCTCCTATCCCTCGAATCATCCTGATTCAACCCCTGGCTTCAAAAAGCAATTTCTAGACTTTCAATGAAAACCTGGTAAAATAATAGCGAATACTCTTACTCCTTGAAAAAGGAGTGGGCCATCTTCCTTTTACACTGCATCAAGCCTAGCCAAAATGTGTCTCTGGAAGTTGCAAATAGCATTCCAACAATTTGTGTTAGTATGCAAAGAGGAAGGCAGTCGCCTCCAATGCTGACAGGAACAAGAATGCTGTCTGCACAGAATGGCCCTCGTGTTTGAGCCAGTTTCAGGAACAAGACTCCTGCAAACTCTGCCCCACCACAGAGCTCCTAGTCAGCACAGAACTCTCAGAACGAGGATGCAGGGATTCAAAAGAAGCCCAGTGTTGGACAAAGAAACAAAATGGGGCAGGGGTTAAAGAAGAGAAGAAAGCAAAATAATATTACTCAGATAAATGACTGGGAGTTTCGACCTTATGACTGAAGTCTTCTTGCTTTTAAGTCTACAATCTATAAAAATTCCCTTACAATGTAATAGTACTGTGCATCAGAGGAAAAACTAAGAAATCTTGCCTATGTTCTAAGAACAAAAGGAGCTTCTGGCCCTCTGTTTTGTTCAAGTCCTTAACCCCAAGGTGCTGTGAGAAACTGCAGCTGATACAGCTAAGAATTATTCCAAGACCTGTGCATCTAAGAAGGAAAAAACAAAACAAAACAAGAAACAATTTATCATTACAGATAAACTGTAAAAAAGAAATGCTGAGATTAAGTTAAAGATGAGAAGACAACATTGCTTTGTTCTCAGGCCAGTCCTCCGGGTGGTCTGTAACAGACTCTTATTGCCTTTTATTTTGTAGTACTCCTGCTAACTACCTTAACTCTCTATATCCCCCCAAAATGTGGCTGCCAGACTGGCAATTAAGAGGCCTGAGGTCTAGTCTCAATTTTCTAAAATTTTACCAATTAAAATTCTGCCAGCTTCATTAGGCAAGTCTCCAGTCTTCCCATGTGTCCCCAACCTCTGCTTTCTGAACCTTGGTCACAACTAAGGAAATCTCAGGCATGGGGCCTGTGAAGAGTCTGGGATAGGATTAGAGAGAGCTTTGCAAATCCACATGGAGAGGCTGCTCTTTCGGCAGTCACCTGCATCCTAAGTCCCCTGCAATTGACTTTCTTTACGAACAGAAGACATGAAAACCAGCTAATGCTCTTAGCAGCTGCTGGGGGAAATGGATTAGCCTTTGCTACTTTGCTACAAACAGGTAAGTTTTACATCCTTATTACTAAACCAGACCCCAATGGCCTGTGCCCAAACTTAATGGAATAAAATTATCTCAGAGCATGCAAAACATTTGCTACCTAAAATTCAGGCAATATATACATATTTTCTGTATTTTAACATAGTAAATTTAAGAAAGAAGAATTAAAATGTTGGTTCTGTGTGTTCAAATCAGATTGCAGATATTAGCAAGTCACCAAAAACAACCATGTGTACACAAATCTCAGATATGGAGAACAGCAGATTTTAATATTCATGCAGACTGTCACATGCAGGGAAGTTCAATATGCAGCAAGAGTAGGGACATATAAAAGAGAAACACCTGTTGTTATAACAAGTATCTCCCTTTTCTTCTCTTTTCTACCCCAGTGTTTTCCTTCAGCACTCCCTCCAGACTGCCTCTTCTAAAAGGCAGAATTGGCCTTTTCCTCTTCATACCTCCATCCAAAACACACCATTTCTCTACTTTCTTAAGGCCCATTCCATTGCTTTAGGTTCCTCAAAATTCCTCACATATGAAAAGGAACTCTTACCATTTCTGAAACTAGAGGTATCCTATATTCAACCTCAAAACCAAATTATAGATTCAAGAGCCAGTCCATTTTTCAGCCCAGGAAGGTTAAACGACTACACTATAAGCTAGTAGAGTAGTAAAGTCAGGACCAGAATCCATGTCTGTCCTCCAGTCTGGGCTCCTTCCACCATACATGGTGTGCCTTTCTTTCCTCCCCTACACTTGGACTTCTTTTCCATATAAGCTCTACTTTAGTTTTGCTTTCACAAATAAGTAGCTTCTCCACCAGGGATCTTCAAGAGGAAAATAGTTTAAATCAAAATTCCTCAAAGGCAATTCCATTTGTAGAAAAGTAGCAAGAAATCTAAACTCACTTTCAAATCATCTCAAACCTACTGATTCGATGTCTTGTAGCAACTCATTTTCTTTCTGCTCTTCTCTCTGCTAACTTCACCTGCCAGGTGCTTTTCCTAATATAAATTTCACCAAACTCGTGCTAAAACAATGCATCAAACACATTCGGTGCTATAACCAATTCCTCAAAAGCCAAAAGTTACATCACAGACACCAACACCCTTAAGAGCATCAATCCAAATAAAAGCAGAAAAGCAGTGGTTTAAAAATTTAACACACATGCACAGGTATGTCCCATAATACTGTCACATTCCAGAGGGAATCTGATGTCATCATACCATACTGTATTTACCTCTTCAATTCATTCTGGGTGTGTGGGCATACATGTGCATTATTTTTAAGCATGAGAATTTAGAGTGGGATAATTTCTACCTTTTTAAAAACAAATGCCCTTTTTATAGCCTGAATGGGAAGTACTAATCTTGTGCTTGTACACATGAAGTTAAAATGGCAGTAACAGTAAAAATAAAGCAAGAAATGAGTCTAAATCTATAATCTGTAATAAAATGGAATATCTGGGCACATAATTTTTTCAATCAAAAACTAATCAAGGCTGGGAACAATGGCTCATGTCTATTATCCCAGCACTTTGGGAGGCTAAGGCAGAAGGATCACTTGAGCCCAGGAGTTCAAGATTGGCCTGGGCAAAATGGCAAAATCCTGTCTCTACAAAAAAAAAAAAAAAGAAAAGAAAAGAAAGAAAGAGAGAAAGAGAAAGAAAGAGAGAGAGAGAGAAAGAGAGAAAGAGAAAGAGAGAGAGAGAAAGAATAAACGAACGAACGAACAAACGAACGAACGAACGAAATTGTGCATAGTGGCTCACATCTATAATCTCAGCATTTTAGGAGGCCAAGGTTGGTGGACTGCTTGAGCCCAGGAGTTTGAAAGCAGCCTGGGCAACACAGACACCATCTCTACAAAAAATATAATTAAATTAACTGAATATGGTGGCACCTGTCTGTAGTCCCAGCTATTCAGAAGCCTGAGGTGAGAGGATCACCTGAAAACAGGAAGGTGAGACCATGATGGCGTCACTGCACTCCAGCCTGGGCGACAGAGTAAGACCATATCTCAAAAAAAAACAAACAACAACAGAAAACCCACTAAGCACCAGAAGAAGACTGTCATTGGTTTAAGATTCAAACTCTATTACTCACCTTTGACAATTTACAAGCCTCCAGCACTAGTTTCAGAGGCTCACACTGTTACATGAATGCTAGCCCAAACTGTATTAAGTGTTAACAGTAATCTCTTTTGCAGCAGGGCATGGTGGCTAACACCTGTAGTCCCAACACCTGAGATGCTGAGGTGGGAGGATAACTTGAGCCAAGGAGTCTAAGGCTGCAGTGAGCCGAGACTGTGCTACTGAACTCAGTCTGGGAGACAGCATGAAACTCCAACTCCCCCGCCCCCCCCCAAAAAAAAAAACAAAAAACAAACTAGTTTTGATTTTACAAATTATTTCTAATAGAAACTTGATCTACATTTTTCTGAAGGTCACAATTCCATCTGCTTATGTACAAACTGTAGGTCTTTTTCCTTACCTTATAAATTATTCTCATAGTAGCATACAACTAGAGTTTTGTCCAGTAAGAGAAAAAAGACTCATGCAAAGGGGAAACATTCTGCTGATATGCAAGGTGAGCACGTAACATTCAAAACCAATTTGCTCCAAGCACAGGTACAGCAACCGCCTAGGATTCTCATGCTACTTACTGGGATTTCAGAAGCAGCAGATTGAGAAGCAGTCTATTAAATTACATACACACACAAAAAAAAACACTTTTAAATTCCACTTGAACACTTGTTTATAAATTATCTAAGCTTCAAAGAACTATGTCTGTAAATATATAATAATTATTTGGGAAAGGCACACAACAGGAGCAATTCATACCTTAAATGCTACCCATGAACTCTACTACAGAGATTCTTTACCACAGGAACTGGAACTTGATATTCAGTGAATATGTGAATTAAGGTAATGATGTTTATGGTATCAAAATCTACAGACACATTTTATTCAATGTGCTATGAAATTAAAAGGGAATATATGATATCAGGTAGCTAATTAAAACTTAATGGTAAGTCATTTTCTAAAGTGCTAAGTATTTTGACTTAAGTAAATAAAATGATGCAAACTGGGAGCATGCCACAACATATACCGGTACATTTGGGCTTTGATGGTTTAAATGTGTTTAATTTAGATAAAAATAACCTTTAAGGGAGGCCTCCTGATACAACATTTTATTGAAATGTACATATTTTATTGAAATACTTATCTGCTGAAGTTTGGACAATACCACTACCAACTATCTGATCTCCATCCAGGACCTGATGCAGGAGGAATCCTTATTTCCTAAGTAACCCCAGGTTTCAGGTTCCAGGAATCTTAGCACTAACTGTGATCAAATTATTTTTATGGAGGAGTTTTAGTCTCTCTCAATCCGAAATTTTTAAAGTCACTGCAATCATTTTTCTGTACAAAGCCATTATCTTGAGCTTTTTGGTTTTGGTTTTTGTTTTTTTTAAGAGAGCGTCTCCCTCTGTCGTCCAGGCTGGAGTGCAATGGTGTGATCTCAGCTCACTGCAACCTCTGCCTCCTGGGTTCAAGCGATTCTCCTGTCTCAGCTTCCCGAGTAGCTGCAGTTACAGGCATGTACCACCATGCCCAGCTTATTTTTGTATTTTAGTAGAGACGGGGTTTCACCATTTTGGCCAGGCTGGGCTCGAACTCCCAACCTCGTGTGATCCGCCTGCCTTAGCCTTCCAAACTGCTGGGATTACAGGCATGTGCCGCTATGCCTGGCCTACCCTGAACTTTTTAAGTAACATGTAGGCTGTATACCTTAAGAGGGTTATAATGATAATGGAGAAAACACTTTCAGGTTAAGAAAATGGATCAAAAGAAAGAACAGTGACAAATTTCCTTAAGTATTATATCTTAATCACAGTGGGGGAACCAACAATTCCAGTCAACAACCTACTCACACAGTTACCCTTAGAAACAATTCAGACACAGCCTATTCATAGAAATGTACTGTTTTAAAATAAGCTTTAAACCCAAAAGGGGGGAAAGGATCTAATGCCCACTTCAAACGCATATTAATTTCAATTCATTTAACATTTACTGAATATAGTGGTACCAGGTGACATGCTGGATCTTGAAGATACAAAAATTACAACCTATTTGGTATATGTTGTAAAAGAATGTCCCAGATATAGAAGACATGAGAAAGAGTATAACTGTCATAGAGGGAACTGGGACTAAGAGGCTTCACAGAAGAAGTTATCATCTGAACTAAATTTTGGCAGATGAAGAGAAGTTCCTGGGCAGAAAAGAAAAGAGAACACAGAGGTGTGAGGTATGGCTGAATAGTACAAGGAGGCTGCTTTTACAAGTTAAAAAAAAAAAAAAAAGAGAGAATGGGGAAAGGAGGGAAGTTGACAGCGTGGTAGGGACCAAACAGCCTCATGCTGTGCTAAATAATTTGATCTTCATCAGAGAAGTAGTGAAGAAACACTGAAGGGCTTTAAGCTGATAGATGATATGATCAGTTTCATGCTTTCTTTCCAGCAGACCTTATTCCCAAATAGATCTACAAATAGTCTCTGAAATATCTGGCCATCAACCAACAAAATGATAAATACAGGATGATATAAGAAAATGCAATGATATCAAACTCTGTCGGAGTCTCACTCTGTCTCCCAGGCTGGAGTGCAGTAGTGCGAATCTTGGCTCACTGTAACGTCTGCCTCCCGGGTTCAAATGATTCTCCTGCCTCAGCCTCCTGAGTAGCTGGGACTACAGGCACGCGCCACCACGCCCTGCTAATTTTTCTGTTTTTAGTAGGGACGGGGTTTCACCATGTTGGCCAGGCTGGTCTCATACTCCTGACTTTGTGATCCGCCCCCTTGGCCTCCCAAAGTGCTGGGATTACAAGCGTAAGCCACCACGCCTGGCCCGCAATTTAATTATAATTTATTCCAGGCATTCAAACACTGAAAGAACACAAAGTTTAATTGGGAAGTTCTACTAAACATTACTATAATCACTTCCACAGCAGCTGGTTGGGAATTTTCAGTTGCTGAGATTTTATAGGTGTTTCCCCCCTTGCCCCTCCCCATCACTGCTACTCAAATCTAAGTGGACCCTTCTGAACAAAGTGCTACATAGTATGAAAGAACAGCATTGCCTCTTTCCTTAATGAATCTGGTGTGTATCTTTAGCTGACAGAAAACTGATATAACTGCCATAATCATGGCCCAAATCTAGAAGCCAGAAGGGATTAAGGCCAAAACTGCTCCTGGACATAAATGCTTAAATACAAAGCCAGAATGATAACAAGAAATAAATGTCAAATACCAAAAAATAAAAAAAAAAACAGCCAATGAGTCTTTTTTCTTTCAGAACTGCTGAGTAAAACAAATGAACTTAATAGATTTCAAAGAATCCCAAAATAGAATCTGCATGAAATTATAGTCCTCAGCTGTTTTAACATGTCATAATACATTTTTCTGTGCTATAAGTGAAGTGTAGAACGCCACCACACTGGCAAATATAGAAGGAAGAAGGCATTTTGTGTAAGTACATAAATTTTTAGGCCTTTGTTGGTTTCATTTAAGACTAAAGATAGCAGAGCACTGGAAGAAACAGTTCACTGAGAGGACATTCATAAATGAAAAGGATAAATGTACTCTTGAGAATCAAGAGCCTTCCTTTATTTCCGTAACACATAGTCCATTATGCAAATAAACATTATACTTAAAATCTATACTTATACCACCAAGAAGTCATCAGAGTAACTTCATGCTGAAATGAGAGTCTGCAGTGAGCTCAAAGTACATCTCATCATTTGACATTAAGGCCCAGGGAATTATCTCAACTCAGGCTATTGGTAACTACTGAAGATTGAGGAATAAAAGCCTATTCAGCCTTTATACCTTTATAAAGCTTAATGATACAGCATTACCTAGCACACATCATTCACTGTTAACTAAACAATGGACACCTCAGCTGACAACTACACACAACATTTTAAATCAAGCATAAGAGTTGCTCGCTAACCTTGAGTGCTAAATTAAGTGAGAAAAGCAAAGCACACAATGCTTTTACTCCCAATTATGTATGCCTCTCCTTTCTTTGAGAACATTACGTTTTGCTACTTCCTTTGTCCATCTATCTTAGAGGGAGAACAGTTGGTAATCACTTACATTAACAAGAGACTCCTTGAACTTGATGTGAAGTCTGTAATTTGAAAGGGCAATGATGGCATCCTCCGCTCGGCCCACAAACTCTGTGCTCTCTCCATGAAGTTCAAGGAAAGGAACCTTTGAAATGGAAGAAACCCTTCAGATTTCTGAAGCAGTTAAAAAAAAAAAAAAGGCTTCAAACATCAGTTAGCTAAATGGATGGTAAATCCTCTGCCACTGAAGTTGAAAACACAGAACATAAGTACGTAAGGAAACTAAAGAGGAGGGGTTTATATTCACTTAATTCAAATGTATCTAGTTACTCAAATTCGGAACTACTAAAGGAATGACACAGAAGATCATCTTAAATAGTGGGTTCTCAGGAAATAAGTCTTGCTAAAATGAGACTTTTTCAGCTTGCATTTCTACTACACGTATGATTTAAGAAAAAAATAGGCTGGGCACTGTGGCTCACGCCCGTAATCCCAGCACTTTGGGAGGCCAAGGTGGGTGCATCTTAAGGTCAAGAGGTCAAGACCATCCTGGCCAACATGGTGAAAGCCTGTGTCTACTAACAACACAAAAATTAGCTGGATGTGGTGGCACATGCCTATAGTCCCAGCTACTCAGGAGACTGAGGCAGGAGAATTGCTTGAACCTGGGAGGCAGAGGTTGCAGTGAGCCGAGGTCATGCCACTGCACTCCAGTCTTGAGAGAGCTAGACTCTGTCTCAAAAAAAAAAAAAAAATGATATACACACACACAGAAGTACATTACACTTCAATCCATTAACTCTGCTATACAGTTAATCCTAAATAAATATGTTACATTTAAAAGTGGTCTGTAATTACCTGAAGATTCTCATCCTCTCGGATCAGCTGCTTCCTAGGAAAGATCTGATTGGCCTGGATACACTCAAGGCTGTGCTGAGTCTCTTCATCCTGGAAAAGTCCAAAACCCTAAAATAATTTCAAAGCTTCTAGTCATCCGTATGTGTTTTTTCTGCCATGTCTACTAGCATAATCACAAAGTACAAGATCAAGATGAACAGGCAGAAAAGCTCAAGGAAACAATACTCAAAAAGTGTTTTATCCAATACATCAGGTACATCTAGTCCGAAAGCACATTGATGCAAAAAAAAAAAAGTCAAAGAGGTTAGAATATTTCTATTAGGCACTAACAGGTTGTTAATACCTTTTTTTAGAGACAGAGTCTCACTCTGTCACCCAGGCAGTGGTACAATCTCGGCTCACTGTAATCTCAGCCTCCCGAGTTCAATCAGTTCTCCTGCCTCAGCCTCCTGAGTAGCTGGGACTATAGTTGCATGCCACAACGCCTAGCTAGTATTTTTGTAGAGACAGGGTTTTGCCATGTTGGCCAGGCTGATCTCCAACTCCTGAACTCAGGTGATCCAGCTGCCTCAGCTTCCCAAAATGCTGAGATAACAAGTATGAGCCACTATGCCCAGCCCTACATAACGTTTAAGAGAAACCAAGATATAATGCTTTTTTCTCTTTAAGTTATGATCTTAAATTCTTTGAGAAATACATACTGAAATATTTAAAAATGAAAGGTGACATTTGAAATTTGCTTCAAAATAACTGGGGCAGGAGTAAGGAGGAAGTCGGACATGAGTGCAATAGGACTATCTACGAATTAATAATTCATGAAACTGGGTAAGTGTGAGTTTATTATCTATATCATTGTGTCTACTCTGGTTATATGTGAAATTTTCATAATAGAAAGCTTGAAAACAATTTCTAAGAAAAAGTATGCTTAAGAACTACATTTCCCAAGTCGAATATCTATGAAAGACTATCTTTCATTTATTCTGCCTTATATTACAAAATAGATTTCTGTTAAGACAACTTCAAAAAGCATAGCAATAAATTCTCATCTAGATGGCACATAAATTATTTGTATTAAAAGTAATATTTTGCATTATGAATTTTTATGGTATAGGAAGACATTAGAGAAATGTCATCTATTAGAAAGCCTGACTAAATTATAATAGAATCTGTTTATATTGAAACTTATTTTTTAAGTCAGGGTTTTGTTCTGTCACCCAGGTTGGAGTACAGCAACACAATCACAGCTAACTGTAACCTCCAACTCCTGGGCTCAAGTGATCCTCCAGCCTTAGCCTCCCAGGTAACTGAGACCACAGGCGCACACCACCATGCCAGGCTAATTTTTTTATTTTTAGTACAGACAAGGTCTCATTATGTTACCCAGGTTGGTCTCAAACTCCTGGGCTCAAGTGATCCTTCCACTGTAGCCTCCCAAAGTGCTGGAATTACAGACCTGAGTCACCAAGCCCGACCCTACAAAGCAATTTTTAAAAGAGCAAAAGCTACATCATGTTCAGCTGACAGCATTAAGAATTATAACAAGTGGTTACTGGTCACTTCCGTATACACTACTTAACACAATTCCAATAATTTTGTAAATCCTCCCACCGAAAGAGCTTTTCTTCTTATCTATAAACAACACTTAAGGTTTTACTAACAGCAATCATAATCATAAAATGGTAATACTCTACTAGTATTCTTCTCAAAAGGAAGTCCACAGAATCTGAGATGCTTACAGGGGTCCTGTGAGGTAAAAACCTTCCCAATAATAAGATATTATTTGCCTTTCTTCACTGTATTGCCATCTACACTAATAGTGAAAAAAATAACTGGTAGGTAAAACTGCTGGTACATTAGCACAATCGAGGCTGTGGTACCAATTTCCTAAGAATGACCCTGATAAAGAGATACTATAAATTCTATTTATTAAATCCTTACCCTTAAGTAGAAGTCTGTTTTACAGAGGAAATAAAAATAAAACACCTCTGGTGCATGGTGCAGTATTATGGTGTCATAAAGTAAAGCACTTGTACAAATGTCTCAATTAGATGGACTAGCCTTTTTTTTTTCCACTAAATACCATTCTTAACTGGAAGAACAACTGATAGAAAAAATATGATAATGCAGACTTGGGCATCTGGCAGATCTTTTTCCCAAAAGACAGTATTACGAAAAAAACAATAACAAAAGATAGTATTAGATGCCAATAATAAAGCTTTTGTGCTAAAATTAGATTTTGGAAAACCTGTCAACTCCCACCATGAACTTTAAAGCTTCCCAATACTTAGGACTTTTAACATTAAAGTGGAGATATTACCAAGTGTGATTTAAAAAACTATAATAAAATGTCAATTTTTAAAGATCTGCCTCATTCAATGAACCCATTATTTTCCTAATGACCAATGCATGATGTTACAAAATCGTAAGTGGATAAAGATTCACTCAAAGTGAAAGACCAATGGTTTTAATGTAATATAATATAAAAAGTTCACTGATACGATTTCAGATTCTACATTGCAACGAACCTTTAAAGAACCACCACTGGGTAGGCATGGTGGCTCATGCCTGTAATCACAGCACTTTGGGGGAGCTACAGTGCCTGTAATCTCAGCACTTTGGGGGGCCACGGTGAACAGATCGCTTGAGCCCAGGAGTTTAAGACCAGCCTGCGCAACACGGTGAAACCCCCTCTACAAAAAATAGAGAAATTAGCTGGGCACAGTGGCACGCATCTGTAGTCCCAGATACTGAAGAGGCTGAGGTGGGAGGATCACCTGCACCTGAGGAGGTAGAGGCTACAGTGAGCTGTGATTGCATCACTACACTCCAGCCTGGGCAACAGAGCAAGACCCTGTCTCAAAAACAAACAACAACAACAAAACACCAATTATCAAGTTTTGGTGTAGTATTAAAGAAAAATAAATTATCTGGGAAAATTAAAATTCTCTTCCTTTTGTAATTACTTTTCTAACTACATATCTGCCTGAGGCTGCATTTTCTTCATATATTTCAAAGAAAACACTAACAGACAATGCAGAAGTAGATAAGAGAATCCAGCTGTCATCTATTAAGCCAAGTATTAGAGATTTGCAGAAATGTTAACGCTATTCTTTATACTAATTATCTTTGGATGAGGAAAAAATAGTTATTTTTCATCAAAAAATGTTATTTATGCTTCCATATAATTGGTTTTTTACTTTTAAATGAATTTATAACCATTTTAAATATTTCTCAGTTTCAATTTCTAATATGGTATAAATAGACATAACCCACAAAAACCCTCTTAGAAGTACCTCAATAATTTAAGAATGTAAAAAGAGGTCTGAAGACCAAAGAGTTTCAGAGCTGCTTCTCTACCATACTCTAACACTAAATACCAATTAAAGCTGCTTCACTCCAAAAGTCAGGCTACTCCTAAAACTATTCTCCTAGTGCTAATAAATAATCTATGAAAGAATAATCTACTAAAGGTGAGCCATGATTACACCACTGCACTCCAGCCTGGGTGACAGAGTGAGATCCTGTCTCCAAAAAGAGAGACAGAATGAAAGATGTGAAGAACACTGAATTTAGGGAGATGTTTCTCATAAACCAATAGGGGATAGTAAGGAAACGCTAAATAAACATGAAGGGAAGCAAAATCTTACATAAAAGTATACTTTTAACATATCTGCTCACTATCACATTAACTAGCCTTTTACCTCACATAAATGTGTAAGGCCTAAACTTTTATTTTCTGTAAGGTCATTTTACAGAGGTACCTAATTAAGGGATTCCTTGACCTAGTTTTCTGTTGACTTTTAGCACAGAACTGAAATAACAGCAGCCTTTTAAAGAACAAAAAGAAGCCATTTACCTATTCACTCTTGCTGGCACACTCACCAGGGTGCTAATCTAGACCAATATATATCACCAAAGTAGCTACTGAAAACTAAACATGGGATGATTTTCAACACAAAACAACTGAGAATTGGGCCAGCAAGGCAAGAACATAAAGTACTTATTTTTCATAAACCAATGCTTTTTAAAAGCTACTATCTCAGTTCACATGAGATAAAGTTCATGTGAACTTTCTTTTAATTTTGTAAAGCTTTAATTCTGTAAAGCTTCACAACTTTTCTCCCCTTATACACAAAAATACATTTAATCCCCAAGGACTTACCATTAGGACTGATTGAATCTAAAGGACCAGTTATCCCACATGGCTAAACAGTTGAATTTAACAGTTGAATTAGCCTGAATTTATTACAGTTTCTGTGAGTTTCATAAGTGGAGGAGGAGGCCAAACTGGAGATGGTTAATAACATTAGAAGTTTTGGAAGGAGACAAATCAGGAAATGTTGGTCTGGTAGGAGTTTTGGAAACAAATTTCTCCTAGGCTATAAAAGCAGTAACTTTAATAAGAGAGACGTATTCCATGTCTTCAATTTCCTGGTATTGCTGAGGAACACCAAGCACTGTGGCATGTGGCACTTCATAGTGTCCACCCACCTCCATAAAGTCAGTTGGGTCATCTACAAAATACTGAAAAAGGGCCAGTAGTTCCAGGCTAGTTTCTGCTATTGGCTAAACTCTGCAGTTAAGAGAGGAAAGTACACACCTCAGAGCAGAAGTCAACAATAGAGATGAATATTTGAAGTACATAGAAAAGGCTGGTTACGGTGGCTCACACCTGTAATCCCAGCACTTTGGGAGGCTGCGGCGGTTGAGTCACCTGAGGTCAGGAGTTCAAAACCAGCCTGACCAACATGGAGAAACCCCATTTTTACTAACATACAAAAATTAGCTGGGGATGGTGGCGTACGCCTGTAATCTCAGCTACTTGGGAGGCTAAGGCAAGAGAATTGCTTGAACCCAGGATGTGGAGTTTGCAGTGAGCAAGATCATGCCATTGCTCTCCAGCCTGGGCAACAAGAGTGAAATCCATTTCAAAAATAATAATAGAGTACATGCAAAGGAGAGACTGATGACCAATTAATCCTATTAACTGAATTCATGTCTAGTGTTTCTGTTTGCAAAGCACAGAAGTGAAAATAATTACCAGTCCTGGTGTCATTTCCAATCATATCTTAAGGCTGGTAATAAAAGATAAAAAATACATTTCCCTTAATAAAATGCTTGGGATTACTGCCAAAGGGGTGGGGGCAAAGAAGTCAAATGAAACAAGAATAGTGACAAATTTATGATTACTGCAGCTTAATTATGTGTATTATGAGTGCACTGTACTCTTCTTCTCTCTGCATAGGCTTGAGATTTTCCACAATAAAACATGAAAATATATTTTGCTAATGCTTAACCTCTCAAAGACAGACTCCAATCTCATTTAAGAACCTTTTACTGTAATCCCAGCACTTTGGGAGGCCGAGGCGGGTGGATCACAAGGTCAACAGATTGAGACCATCCTGGTCAACATAGTGAAATCCCGTCTCTAATAAAAATACAAAAAAAATTAGCTGGGCACGGTGGCGTGTGCCTGTAATCCCAGCTACTCAGGAGGCTGAGGCAGGAGAATTGCCTGAACCCAGGAGGCGGAGGTGGTGAGCCGAGATCGCACCATTGCACTTCAGCCTGGGTAACAAGAGGGAAACTCCGTCTCAAAAAAAAAAAAAAAAAAAAAAAAGAACCTTTAAGAGTATAAAAAAACAAGGGAAAATGTTACATACTTTAAGTGCTTCAATACAGTATATAATTAAAATCAATGGTTCAACAACATGCAAAATGTTATGTAGCTAGTAAAATGATCATTAGGAATCCAAGGAATTAACATGGGAGAATGTTTAATTCATTTAGAGAACTAAGCAAAATAGAAACTTATTTTATCATTCTAACTATATAAAATATATATATATGAGACATGAACTAGTTAGAAAGGAATATAACCAGACAGCCATGTTGGCTCACGCCTGTAATCTCAGCACTTTGAGAGGCTGAAGCAGGTGGATCACCTGAGGTCAGGAGTTCAAGACCAGCCTGGCCAACATGGCAAAACCCCATCTCTACTGAAAATACAAAAATTAGCCAGGCATGGTGGCAAGCACCTGTAATTCCAGTTACTCGGGAGGCTGAGGCACAAGAATCACTTGAACCCAGTAAGCGGAGGTTGCAGTGAGCCCAGATTGCACCACTGCACTCCAGCCTGGATGACAGAGTAAGACACTTTCTCAAAAGTAAAAGGAATATAACCATGGGTTCTGGTGGTAGAATTATAAATGAGAATTTGTAAAAACTTGTTATACTACTTTATGAGAAAATTACACAAATACAAAAGATACATATATAGCCATGCTACTCCCCAACTAGTACACACACAAGTAACTCCTCAGCGTTGTCTACAGCACCAGGCCATGGAGAACACCAGGGAGACTCTGCTAGGCACCAGAGAGAGCCCAGCAGGACCAGGAAGAGGACCACACTGCCACTAGCTATGTGGTATACAATGAAGGACAACCCCTCAACACAGAACAGAGCTGCTTTCATAAGCCTCATTTGTTATTCATTAGCACTGGCTAAAATACTAGACAAGCACTTTTTCAATTCATTAAAAATTCTGTGGGAAAACCAATAAAATAAAATATAATCAAGAAAATAACAGCATATGTTCATCAATGTTTAGGTATAAATCATAAAGTTGTAATGCCCATAAAGAAAAAACTGGCATGCCTTTAAGATAAATGGAGTTACCTTTCTCTTTCTTTTAACGTGACATTTCTGTACAACTAGTTTGTTTTGTTTTACTTTTTAATTTTGAAAAGTATTTTCCATACATGGCCCTAATGAAGCTTGAAATTAACACAGCCTTTTCAATTCCTTCTCTGTGCATCAGCATAAAACAGTTTGGATCTAGGAAACATCACAAGGTAGAAGGACAATATTACAGAGGACCATTTTTTTTTTAGGCCTTGAAGCACTGTTTACATTTCCTCAGGATTGATGAAAATATGGCTGGCTTGTTGCTCCATCTTCTCTGCTTGAGCTGAACCCGAAATGGTCTGTAAATCATTGAACTGTCCGTGTTAAATTCTTTTTCTGGTTAAAGATACAGGAGGGGGTGTGCAGGGCTGCTCCACCTACTATGGGATCAAAATACTGCCTTAAAGAGACAGAAAAGGGAAGGTAGGGAATTGCTTCTAAACAGAAAGATAAATTCATAAAGCATATACGCTATGTGAAGTCATGCATATGTTAATTAGCTTGATTTAGCCATTCTACAATGTATACATATTTCAAAACATTATATTGTACACAATATATAATTTGTCAATGTTTTTAAAATTTTAAATGTGCAGATGACTATCTTACAATTTGTCTACACACACACACACACACACACACACACACACACACAGTTTTCACTACACGCTACTTCCTAGAAAAGGAATTAAAAACCTGGAGTCCAAGAACTTATGTTTTAGTCTTGATTCCATTTACTTGCTGACTGAAAAATAAGAGACAATACCTAGCTCACAGGATTAAAGTTAATAGAAACGAAACTGCTCTGTATATTGGAGTACTCTGTAATTATTACTAAGTAAACAATAAAAGAAAGGAGATGAGATCTGGGAAAGAAAAAAATAAATTCTTGCAAAAACAAAAATGGTTAAGTATGAATTTATTAGTGTTTACTTAATTGCCAGGACAGAGGAGTTTTTTTTTTGTTTTTTTTTTTAACTCTTATTTCCTTGTACTTACCATGACAGGAGGCCCAGATTAGGAGGAGAAATCCTCGTCCCTTCTTCAGTGTCCAACAAGGCTCTCTTCTTTCCCTTACGGTGAGGTCTTTAAAAAAAAAAAAAAAAAAAGGAGGGGGGAGGCAAAATTGGCAATAGTTTTTCCCCTAATCAGCCATACCCTAATAAAGATATTGTATATGCACAGGCCTAAGAAGCTGATCAGAGTCAGCAAGAAAAAGTTGAATTATCACCCAGCCAATTCCCACTAATCAAATCCTAATTTGACAATTTCTTCATAAAAATCCTGCTAGTCTTAACCTGTTTCTGCCAAAACAGTATCAAAGGCTAACATTCCTAATGTTCACAGTAAAACAAAAAATATAAAACTTGGATGAATAAAGCAACAATTAAAAAAATCAACCTGCAGGCCAGGCAAGATGGTTTATGCCTATAATCCCAGCACTTTGGGAGGCTGAGGCAGATGGCCTGAGCTCAGGAGTTCAAGAACAACCTGAGCAACAGAGCGAAACCCTGTCTCTACCAAAAAAAAAAAAAAAGGCGGGGGGGGAGGGAATAGCTGGGCATGGCAGCACACGACTAGTCCCAGCTACTCAGGAGGCTGAGGTGGGAGGATCGATTGAGCCTGGAAGGTTGGGGCCGCAATGTTCTGTGTGTACACCACCGCACTCCAGCCTGGGCAATTAGAGCGAGACCCTGTCTCAAAAAAATAGTCAACCTGCAAACGCAAAAGCATTATTCTTGTAGTATTTTAGGATGCTTTTGTTGTTATCTCTAAATTCAAAATAGATTCCCCAACTGAGGACACCAAAATGACTTATGAACAAAAATGAAAAACGTGTCTTATTACCCAAATATTAAATGCTCTTCTAAAAACTTATAATCTGTACTAATACCTTTACTTGGTTTTATAAGAACAAAAAGGAGAGGAGAAAATCCAACTAGAAACCCAAAGATGGGCTTATGCAAAGAGTAAGTCGCTCTTTGAATAGTCTCATACAAAATCAACATTTCTGTGTGCTAAACTTTTCTAACAGGATATTTTAGGGAGCTTGGGTTTCAATGTGCAGCATAAAACTCTTTAAAGGGCAACGTAAGCAAGGGAACAGAACATCAAAACAGCAGCAAGGCCTAGATCATGTTGAGGCATTTTGAGCAGAGGCGTGGCAGGAGATGACTTAAAGAATCAGTCACGCTGGGTTGGGCGTGATGGCTCATGCCTGTAATCTCTGCACTTTGGGAGGCCAAGGCAGGCAGATCACGAGGTCAGAAGTTCAAGACCAGCCTGGCCAACGTAGTGAAACCCCGACTCTACTAAAAATACAAAAATTAGCCAGGTATGGTAGTGTGTGCCTGTAACCCCAGCTACTTGGGAGACTGAGGCAGAAGAATGGCGTGGACCCACAGGTTGCAGTGAGCCTAGATTGCGCCACTGCACTCCAGCCCAGGTGACAGTGAGACTCCATCTCAAAAAAAAAAAAAAAAAAAAAATCATTCTGGCTGTTGGGCAGGGAGAGTCAAGGCTATTGGGGGTAAGAAGCAAAGGAAGACCAATTAGAAGGCATCAATAATGCCAGCAAGAGACAATATAGCACTGAAAAGGTAGTAGAGATGAAAGTGTTACAATGTTACTTATTCTGGATATACTTTGAAAATACTGCCCATAGGATCTGAGCCGATGAATTAAATAGGAGAGAACAGGAGAAGTCAAACTTTTTGTTTCAGCAACTGGAAGCAAAAATTTTCTATTTATTGATGAGGGGCACTGTAAGAAAAATTGATTGTTCTTGTGCCATGCAGAGAGAGCTGCACGGAGGAGGAACAAGAAATTCAAGTTTCCATTTTAGACACATTATGTTTAAGAATCTATCAGATATCCAAACAAAGATGCCAAGTAAATTGCTAGTTAAACCAGACTGGAGATCGGGAAGATGGAGCCTAGAGATATAAACATAAATGTGGGAGACATCAGTGTGTGAACGGCATTAAAGCCAAATGCAGGAGCAAGTATAAACGGGAGGCTAAGATGACTAAGAACAGGGGTTTTGGGTAGGCCATTTTTATAGGGGCTGAAAGGATGAGGAAGAACCTTATGGTACAGTAACAAACCAAGCTATAGTCATCATTCTTATTACTCTTCCAACCAAACCAAACTCTTGTGATTCGGCCTAGTTCAAGAACTGAAACTAGTGTAAAATAATCTCATTTATTTATTGCTTTAAATAAATATTTATTCAATATTTACTACACTCCAGGCACTATCGTAGACTTTGGGGAGACAACTGTGAACAAAAATTCATGGAACTTGATTTTATTGTTGGTCTTTCTCATTAGAAACAAAGAAAAAGATAACTAATGTTAGGCAGTAGGCAACTGCTGCAAAGAAAATAGAGCAGGGTTTGGTGGTGGGGGGGAGGTAACAGAAGTGCTATTTTTAAATAGAAAGGTAAAAATGTGCAAAAAGGCACTTGCTGGAATTCATTAAAAAGGAGGGGGCAAAGGCAAAGAAATTATTCTTGAGGGTATGAACTTATTAAAAGAACTGGATAATGTTGTAAAAAAAAAAAACCCCTTTTCAAAAAAGAAACATACTGAATTACTTTTTTAAAAAGTGTCCTATTATGCAAAACGTATTTGTGTTTTAGGATAAATATCTGATAGCATCATAGACACATTCAAACTGCTGTATCTTAAACAATTTAAATGGAAGTGAATTTGACATATTTTACAAAACTATTAAACAAAATATAACTCTAGTGAGGAAGCTACTAAATGTCAAACGTAGGTGGAATGTTAAGGTGAAACCCCCATAACATTCTGTCATGGATATAAAGTATACAACCTCTGAGGAAAAGTTTGCAGTTCCTAAAAAAGTTGTAGAGTCATCTTATGTCCCATTAGTTCCACTCCTGGGTATATACCACCTCCTAAGAGAATTGATTCTCCTGCCTCTGCCTCCCAAGTAGCTGGGACTACCGGCATGAGCCACCATGCCCAGATAACTGTTGTATTTTTAGTAGAGACGGGGTTTCACCATGTTGGCCAGGATGGTCTTGATCTCTTGGATCTCTTGACCTCATTATCTGCCTGTCTCAGCTTCCCAAATGGCTGGGATTACAGGTATGTGCCACCATGCCTGGGCCCTGTCCCCCCTTTTATTTTTTTTGAGACACAGTCTCACTCTATCACTCAGGCTGGAGTGCAATCTCAGCTCACAGTAACCTCTACCTCCAGGGTTCAAGCAATTTTTGTGCCTCAGCCTCCCAAGCAGCAGGGATTACAGGCATGTGCTACCACGCTCAGCTAATTTTTCTATTTTTCATGGAGATGGGGTTTCACCATGTTGGCCAGGCTGGTCTCAAATTTTTGGTCTCAAGTGATCTGCCTGCCTCAGTCTCCCAAAGTGCTGGGATAACAGTAGTGAGCCACCACACCTGGCCTACTCTAATTTTTTATTGAGTACAGAAATACCAAGACAAAGATTTGCCACTTAGCATTAAAAGTCTCAGTCAATTTAAACACAGTCTTCACCCAGAAAGGCCTTCCATTTCTATACCAAATTGAAATTATACCAAATGTTCTTCAGCACTTCAGTCAAAATTTACCAGTAACTGGGCAGGCATGGTAGCTCATGCTTGTAAACCTAGCACTTTGGAAGGCCAAGGCGGGTGGATCATCTGAGGTCAGGAGTTTGAGACTAGTCTGGCCAACATGGTGAAACCTCATCTCTACTAAAAATACAAAAATTAGCCGGGTGTGGTTGCAGCCACCTATAATCCTAGCTATTCAAGAAGCCGAGGCACGAGAATTGCCTGAACCCGGGAGATGGAAGTTACAGCAAGCCAAGATCACACACTGCCCAGCCTGGGTAACAGAGTAAGACTTGGTCTCAAAAAAAAAAAGATTTTACCAATAATCTACTGTGTTCAACGGTATAACACTGTGTTAGTTCTACATTAATACAACTTATATACCATTGCAGAAGACAGAAAAAGATGGTAATAATTACAAATTGTGCCAAATAATTACAAATTGTGATAAAGGAAGCAAATGGGATGCCGAGACGGAGAATGGGGTTTGGGGGTACAGAAAACCTACTTTAGATCAAGTGGTCAGAAAATACTACTCTGTGGGACAAGGCCAGTTTCTAATACAGGGAACTGCATGTGTTCCTCAGACAGAAAAGACCTTGATAATTTTGAAAAACTAAAAGGAGAAAATCACTGCAGCTAAACTGTACTATATCAGAAAGAAGAGTGGCACAACTTGAAGTTGGAGAAATGCACAAGGAAAAATCATGTGAATAGTAATAAGTTTAAAATACAGTCGTGTACAACAGGGAGCCACTGACAGGTTTTTTTAATAGCAGAGTGGCATGATTTGATTTTAAGATCACTTTGGTTGCTGTGGGGTGAAGAGATTAAAAGAGAAAAAGGATAGAGAAGAGAACCAGGAAACAAGTACAGTAAGAGACTAGTGGCTTGATTTAGAATAGAAGCAGGAAAGATAAAGCCTAAGTATGTGAAAGATACCCTAGTGTATAACTCACAGGTCTAGGTAGAGGCCTAGATGTTGAAGCAAAGGGAGATTAAACAATTAATAGTCTAGAGGAGGTAAGAAATAGTTAAAATAGTTCAAATAAGAGGTGCTACTTTAAGTATCTGAGAAAAGTTTAAACCGCTATAGGAATTCCAAATCCGTAAGAAAAAGCCAAGATCACAGTTAATTGTGCAACCAATCAGAATCAAGTATTTGCTGAAGGTTCCTTTTAAAACTAGAAAGAGCATTAGACCAGTCTAGGTATTGTTTAAATCTCTCTCTCTCTCGTTCGCTCTCGCTCTCGCTCTCTCTCTCTCATATGGGCCCCACAGTGGTAGTTATACTAACAGTACAAAAGTAAGAAATCAAGTCATTGCTGTTAGTCTCATAAGCAGTGTAATACTTCTTTTTAGTTATAATAGTAAAGCATGCTCCTAATAAATTTTTAAGATACAGGTGTAAAAAGTAAACAAGCAGCCTCATACACTGCTGAGAATATAAAATAGTACAACCTCTTTGGAAAAATAGCCTGGCAGTTGCTCAAACATA